AAAAAAATGAAATGTTTGACAAATACTTAAAAAAAATAATTGAAATATAACATATAAAAAATAGACTTCATCCAAAGTAATATGAGGATCAAAAAATTTCCCATCCTTTAACATTACTTTTTTTTTCTTCACGTTCGTACTCAAGGTGTTAAATTTATTTAAAGTTATTTAAATTTAAATCAGTTTAAATCAATTTAAATCAATTTAAATCAATTTAAATCAATTTAAATCAATTTAAATCAATTTAAATCAATTTAAATCAATTTAAATCAATTTAAATCAATTTAAATCAATTTAAATCAATTTAAATCAATTTAAATCAATTTAAATCAATTTAAATCAATTTAAATCAATTTAAATCAATTTAAATCAATTTAAATCAATTTAAATCAATTTAAATCAATTTAAATCAATTTAAATCAATTTAAATCAATTTAAATCAATTTAAATTGATTTAAATTGATTTAAATTGATTTAAATTGATTTAAATTGATTTAAATTGATTTAAATTGATTTAAATTGATTTAAATTGATTTAAATTGATTTAAATTGATTTAAATTGATTTAAATTGATTTAAATTGATTTAAATTGATTTAAATTGATTTAAATTGATTTAAATTGATTTAAATTGATTTAAATTGATTTAAATTGATTTAAATTGATTTAAATTGATTTAAATTGATTTAAATCAATTTATATCAATTTCAAATCAATTTAAATCAAAGTTTATAAAAAAAAATTAAATAAATTATAACATAGATTAAAATAAATAATTAGCACTTCTTACGGTTCGACCTAACATAAAAAATATGATGAGCTAACTTATAAAAACGACAAATTTAGATTTCCTGACACCTTAACAGCCTAGTCCTCCACTTGAACTCCAATTTCGACTGCAAACTATCGTCTTTCGTGCATCGTCGGTGCCTTGCTGTTTAGAGTTATAACCTTAATAGTATGTTCAAGTAGCGATAAATATTGATGTACGCGGATTTTATTTGTCTTTTTATTTTAGAGTGAATTAATCTACGAAGTTTTACTTCACTCTTTTTTTTAATACTTAGTTTTTTTATGCTACTGATATTATTCCAAATAACCTTACTTAATGATTCTTTCGTCATTTATAACCAAGATACAGGTGGTTTTATTAACTTTGCCAATTTCTTTTTTGTTTCATAACTTACTAACCACCCTTACATGTTATTGAAATTTGGCACATGTATTCTCTACAACTTACCATAATCTATTAACGTATTAATAAGAAACAAAATGCAGTTCCATCTTTTCAAAAAAATTTAAAAATTTGTCTATCCTTATAAGAACACACTACAAGTCGCTAAATTTGTATCCATATTTGGAAAAAGCACAAAAAAAATAATTATATGCTTTTAATTTTTACTAGATGATTTTATTACTAAAATTAACTGTTTTTATATTATTTTTAAACTAAGCATATTTTTAAAAGTTACATGTTATGCGTGTACACTACAATAAAATGTACTTACAAGTCCATATTTATGACCAAATATAATCATTACTTTTTAATTAATCACTGCATGCCGTACCAACATCATAATCGCTAGACTCTAGGCAAAATTGATTTAAAGCATTGCTTTTGGTAGTTACTGATAGGCACAGATATATAAAAGTACCAACATAATATATAGCTTTTAAAAATTCAGTTGGAATTAAATTATCCTCATTATAACGTATTGAAGTTACTTAAAGAAAACAATTTTTTCCTGTACTTTTGACACACCCTGTAGGTTAATTCTGCTAGTAGATCTGCATAAAATTAACCTTATCAAGAAGACTGATTTGTTACCAACACTTTTTTTTTTATTTACCTCGATATCTTTATTTTTTGTGAAATGTGACGGTTTAAAGAAAATGCTACATTTTAGAAACGGTCATAATTTAAATGACTGTACAGAATAAACTACAAAATAAGTAGAGTGCTGTGGCCAACTCACAATATGACAACTGTCAAATATTCGTTACTTGGCAATTGCAGTTTAATTATTATTCATTATCAGCATAATATTATGGTTTTAACGCTTACTGATGCAACATGAGCAGTTGCTCCCCCCCTGGCGAGATTTGGTAAGATTTTGCTTAACTCCCTCCCCCCCTTCCCTAATATTACGTGAGATTTTTCAAAATTCGTGTTTTGGGTGTAAATGTGTTATATTATTAAAAAAAAAAACAAAAATACAATATGTTCCATTACTTTTATTTAAGACTAGCAGAGACTAGTGTTTGAGAGTGTTGCAATTATTTAAAATCACATTAATAAAATTAAATGATAAATACTTAAATGGAAATTAATAAAAAATCTATTCTAATTCAGTCCACGGAGCCTCATGCACGGCCTCAAGAGTGATTACTGGAATCAACATATCCAAGTGATTTTCAATGAAATCATCTGCTCTGATTTAGAGGTGTGTAATGTGACACTTCCCAACCTTCAATGACGTTAGTAATGACAACATTACATATATGGTTGTAAATAAACAATTATAAGATTTTTCCATATTTTATTCTAGAAATACTTTTACTATAATTTAACTTTATTTTCACGCAATTTTATACCGTTTTCTACTAGAAAAAAATTACGTGAGATTTACGAAAACCCCCCCTCCCCCCAAGTGAGATTTAGAAAGATTTAGTTTTATCCCCTCCCCCCCTTGAACACCTCACGTAATTAATGGACGCCCCCTAAGGGATTTCCACATATCAAAAAAATATCAAGAAGTTACTTCATCGAAAACTATTTTTTGTGCCAGTGTATCTAAAAATATACACAATCAAAAACTAAAATGAAAATAATTTAAAAATAGAATGAATTATTTTATCACATACAAAACAACAAAAGAAATCACATTGGAATAAAAAACAATAAGAAATCATAGATTTTGAGGGTCGGCTTTGGCGCTGAACGTGTTAAATGTTTAGGATGTAATAAGATGCTTAATTTAAAAATGTATCTATATACTTGCTGGATGTTATAAGAATGGCAGTTTTTCTGTAGAAATGGTATACTGTGACGTAACAACTGGATGTCACAAGATGCAAGGTTTTTATGGATGTCACAAAGTGTTGTTAATAAAAATATATACCGTGTATACTTTGGATCTCACAACGATAGGACGTTTTATTTTTTTAAAATGTGTATGGTTGTGATATTTTTCGCTCAGCCATAATATTTTTTTAATTAAAAGAAGTCATATTTTTATTTTTTTCCTAAAGTCTTTGCAAAGGGTGGATGTCACAAAGTCAAAATTTTTGCTGGATGTCACATGATACGCTGGTCGAGTATATATATATATATATATATATATATATATATATATATATATATATATATATATATATATATATATATATATATATATATATATATATATATATATATATATATATATATATATATATATATATTTTTGCTCTTCAATGAACCAAACCGTCACTACTGCAAATAGAATTCGTCGAAAAATCTCCACATTTTCCATTTGTCCCGCTTTCTACTTTTTAAAATGTTTTTTTTTTATTTAAAATTCATAGACTACATACATCGCTTAAATACGGCCCTGGTGGCCAATCTGATGGAATGTATTATCATAATGTAAGATTTAACTGTAGATACTTCTTATAGTTAACCAACTGTATATCCATCATCCATTTATCGTCTGTGATTTTATTTAGGCGTTCGACACTGCTATTGGTGTTTATTAAAAAAACTCGATCGTAGTAAACAATTTATTTATCTTATGATTTAAGACTAAATCCAAGTTTTTATCTTAAAATACAATAATTATAATACCCAAATTATCACTAAAAGCAAAATTCGGCATTCCTTTAGACTAACATCGATACTTAATCACTAGTTAAAATATGGATATATAGCCTAATTTGCAAAGCATCTGTAAATTTACCGACTTGTAAAAAATCCCTAACGATTTACAGGTAGGTAACTATTTAAAACTGCTTTGTAAATATGAATGTTAATATCCCAAAAGTTTCAATTATGTACAAATTTATATCTCTCACTGCAACATGGTGCCAAAATCGAAAATTACAAAACAAGTTTAGGGTATGGTCCGTTATTAACCGAAATATCGGTTAGTCGGTCCAAAACTAACCGCTTTGCTTGACATTTCTGAAAAATCGGTTAAATTAGGGACGCGGTTACATGAAAATGGTGACTCAAACGACAATTCACTAACCGCTATATTTTTACGGTTACGTCGAATGTCAATCTGTCACAAAAGTGACGTATATCCAAAAGTAACCAAGAAATTAGTTTTTTTCAAGAACCGTTGTCAAAAAATCCTGGCTAGCGGTTAGTAGTCGGTTAATAACAGGCCATACCCTTAAAATATCGCCAAACCCTCACATGACCACTGTCAATGTCACGTCAGTTGTCAATGCGCAAAGAAAAATCACAGTAATTTTGGAACACTGCAAGAAATGCATATACCCCCCAATTTTCGAGCCTTTTAAAACTTTTGGGATATTCTATACAAAAATAAAAGGTATATGTTAAAATTAAAAAACATGGTAACCGTCATTAACATATTTTGTAAAACTTGTTAAAATATTAGTATTTAAAAATAGGAGTAATGACTAAAATACAGTCGACGGATCATGCCAGTTGCAACTGTTCAGTTAAAATGCACGAATTTTTCTGTGTTTAACTGTCACATAATTGACGTCATCTGTCAGTTGCGAGTGTATTATACATTGCGTTCGGTTTGCCACGTTCCTTTAACTCCTTTAACACTTTTAACTCCAAACGACTCTTTTAGCGTTCGGTTTAGTCCGATTAGTGACAGTTTAACACGCTTAAATGTCATTTAAAAGCACCCTAAAATTTGTCCCGCTCCAGCCCCTGACTGACCGAACTCGCCTATAGAGGGAATATTATTAGTTTATTCTGTGTCATCGGCATCAATTACTAAGGTTATTAGCCTGTTGAGTGTATGCCTTGTTTCCCGGCGCCACTTTAGGAACAGCGCTGTTAATTTGAACCCAACAGTAAATAATAGTGGGGAATCTTACCTATATATTATAATAAATATTTTAATTCAATTATTAAATCCTTTACTGGACCTGGATCCAAACCACTGAGCCACCCACATTCTATATAATAATTACTAATTATCATCTTAATATTATTAATTAATTACTAATTCTTATTAATTATTATTAAACACGGCATTCATGTATCTAAAATTCTTTTCACAATAAATTCACTAGACGACACCTTCCATTTAACATGACAAGTGAAGATACTGACAGTTGCAACTTTGTACTGTCCATATTAAACAATTAAAAGTGCACTGTTTATGACAATATGATGTAGGATTTATCAGTAGAATTATCTAAAGACTTAGTAATATCATAGGGCTTTCAATATAGTGTAAAGTATAAAAATTAAATTGATAGATTATTACATGAGTAATCCACAATAAAATGATTCTTAAACAGGCCTTTGGAAAAATTTACCTATGTCGAAGTGTATATAAGTGCTAGTTTGGATTTATTAAGTCATTATCACAGACATGACTAGTATTTCTGTCTTTTCGGTCACAGCTTAGTTAGAAACATTTTTTGGTGGACCACTCTTTATTTTATAGAGAACTATAGATTGGGTGACTGTAAAAAAAGTTTGATAACAATAATTTATAGTCATCCTGTATTTCTATACTCAAAATACACACAACTAAAACAACTAGTGAATGTTGTGTAGATAATGTAGAAAGTTGTGTAAATTTAAAAATAAAATGATAATAAATGTAAAATTGTAAAACCCTGTAAATAAGTTTTGTATAAAGAAAAAAAAAAAAGTGTAAACCACCAGCTAAAATTGACTAAATAATAAAAAAATAAGTAGTTTTAAAATAAACCTAAAAAAAGCTAAAAAATACTTGCAGTTAGGCCATACCGAATTTTCTAAAAAAAAAAAAAAAAAATAGTATACAGTTTAGTCTTCTAAAGTGACATTCTTAAAAAGATATGACATGGATTCTTTATTATGGATTCGTCTAATGGCCTCTGACAGCAAAATTGAAATGTCAACTGTCTTGATCTTGTGACACTGCATTTTCTGGAGTTCATGTGGAATTGTATTGGTAACAACAACCTGTATAGAAAAAATGTTTTAGATTTTTTGTTTTTAATAGTGTAATAATATACATTTATGTTCCTACTGAAAAAAAATTAGATATCTATCTAGAAGACTTTTGATAATTTTTCAAATAACATTCTTCAACCTACCTCATCAATGGGCGAATCATCAATCAGACGTGGGGCATCAGATGATAGCAGACCGTGTGTAGCCATAACATAAATTTTGTATGCCCCACGTTCCTTTAATACTTCAGCGGCAGCAACAAATGATTGTACATCATCTATCAAATCATCCTGAAACACAACCATTAATAAGATTAATTAATTAATAAGATTAATAACAAAGATTAATATATTATAAATGGAGAATTAGAGATATATATTAAAGATAGATAGAACTATTATTACTTTTCTTGACTATACCTTAATATTCTTTGTATATTAAATAAAAAAGTACATCTCACCACCATGATGGCAATTCTACCACCCACGTCTCCTACAACGTTTATTGGGGGCTTCTCTTTAGCAATATGGACTGGTACACCCACGCCGGCGTCCATGGTTCGCGACTTTGGTACAGTAGGAGGTGAATATCGTCCATCTACTTCATCAGAATCAGATTCTTTTTGTTCTCCGTGAATCACGGCAATACCTAGACGTAAACGTTCTGCATAAGACGTCGCTTTGGCCGTCGCAGCCGGGTTTCTTGCTACTATCACGGAATTACGATAGTCTGGAATCTACAAAATCAATGACTTTTTATTGATACAAACTACCAAAATGTTTGTCACAATTTACTAACCTAAAAAGTGGGGTTAATCAGAAAAAAAATCAGTTTTAACTTACACTTTCTTGGATATATTGGAGAAGGAAAGGACTGGCTCTTAAATTATCGACAGGACAATCAAAAAATCCTTGAATTTCTTTCTGATGCAAATCCATCGTTATGATGTGAGTTAATCCAGACTTGCACATCATTTGTGCCAGGAGTTTGGTCACAATGCTTCCTCTTTTACGCATTTTACATTGTTTGCTGTATGGAAGATAGGGTATGACGCCGACAATAGATTTAGCGGAGGAAGTTTTACATGCATATGCCATTATCAAAAGTTCCATTATGTTATTGTTTACGTCCCTAGAAAAGTATGAATGTAAAGCGCCAGGAGAATCAATTTTTAAATTAGATAAGGGAATAATAACATTTTTAATCAAGAAATATTAAATTTATACTTTGCGCCAGTTTGAATGATGTACACATCTTTTCCTCTTATCGAATCATTAATTTGCACCATAGACTCTCGATTTGATTTATGATACACCGCACATCCACTGGATTTTACCCCCAATCTTTTATGTATTAAATTGGAGAGTTCCGGATGAGAATTTCCAGATATTAGAACAATATCTGATGTTTTTGGAGCGTCCATGCTGTTTTTGAAATATAGTTCTTGTTCTCTTCTCTACAAAAATAACGGTATTAATACCTGAAAATTAAAGTAATCTAATATAGAGTTTATCTAGACGTACCTAATTTAGATTAAGTTGCAATTTCCTGAATCAAATTTTTAAATTAAAATTCCTGACAATAATTTTAATTGTCATTTGTCAAATGTCATGTCATCACGTTGACTTTGACATGTTCCTTCTTTTTTTGTTAATTCGACGAAACGTGACAACATTGCTATATCAATAGACGTAAGGTGCATATACAGGGTGTCTCATTAAGAATGGGACATAAAACAACAGAACTGAAGATTTTAAAACTGTAAAATAAGACATTTAAACGAAATTATTCTTAGGTAAAATATAGGGTGTTAAAGATGAAAATTCAAAAATTATTAATGGCTACAATTTTTTTATTTTTTATAATAATTTGGTATCATAAAATAATACACCTATCACCAAAAATATCAGTTAAATACACGTTGTCAGTGGCGTAGAGCATGAATAAGTAACACCTTCATCTCCTCTAAATTTTACACCAATGTCAAAATTTATTTGGAATATACTTTTATATTTTTTGATGTTTAATAAATTATGTGAACTTGCAATTGGTTCTCAAGATATTTACATTTAAAGGTGGACATTCTTTGTTTTAATGTATTTTATAATTTTTTGATTTTGGAGTTTTTTATAAATTCCCAAGATTACATTTATTTATTTATTTACTTAAAAAACAAAAAATTTAAAAATATAGTCCTATTTTGTAAGCAGAGAATCTTCATTTTTTTCTATCCTATTCTTAACGAGACACCCTGAATATGATATAATACTCAAAAATGATACCAACCTAAGATTACGTCACCTCATGACTTATATAATGCTAAAATGTCTTGGAATTTATCGAAAATGACAACGCTGTAAAAAATTGGGCCAAAAAGTGCGGTTATGTATTCTGAATGGAGCCTCGTGAGATTTTTATAAGTTTTAAATGTATTTTTCTATTTTTTGATTAAGATATAAACGAATTGATCAGAATGCATCGATTGTTAAACATCCAAGGAAAGTCGTTCTACAAATATTCACGTGAATCATTCAGTTTACTTAATGCAAACGCAAATGATTGCCTCTTATGTAAACTAAACAACACATTTACAGGTAACAATAATTGTTAAATAATTGTTTGTTTTCTTATTTTAACTCTAATTTAGACAATGTTTTGTTCTCTACAACGACAGGTTCAGTCAGATTCAATTCAACCATTGTTAATCCCAGTTTAAAAAAATATAAAAAGTTTAGGAAAAAGAAAAAGGAATATGCAGAATTGCTATTTGGTAAGTGAAAAATTATTTAAATTAGTCTTTAGTGTGCTTCTTATTTTATATAAAGATATAAGTTTTATTTCTGGCTAATAATAACATCACATTCTTCTAGAATGATTCTAGGTCATCCCTGATAACTGAAATAGAAATGTTATCATCAAATAATAGTTATTATGGTTATTTATGAATTATAATTTTGTTTAATTGGGTTGATAGTATTTAAATTGTTGCTGATTTTTATTATACAATAATATTACCTTTAATTTTATGCTTTTAGTAACTGAAAATTCATCATGCCAACGTAGGGCTACTGTTAAAAAACTCACTTTCAGTGATCTAGAGCTACTAGCTACAACAAATTTAAATCTAAGCGAGCTATATAAATTAAAAGAACTTTCCCAAAATAAAATTTTTAATGAACACACATACAATAATTTAAATATGATAGATAATTTCCCAACATCTAGTTTAGACATACATAAATCATTAAATCTGAATGTAAGCAGTGATAATAATAAACGGGCTGTAAATTTGGATGTGCCTGATATGAATATAGTAGCCGAATTACAAAATGTTAAAGAAAATATGGGTCTACCGATAACAGAGATATTCAATGATTCTGGTGAGTTATCGAGTATACATGTTGAACAAGAGGCCGAGTTAGAAAGGTAACTATTTTGTTTGATTTTGGCTTGTGAAATATTGCGTTTATATAGGGTGAGATGAGGAGCTGTACATAAACATAAATTAGAAAGGTGAATAATAACAATAAAGCCACTGTTAAACTTTTAACATTTATAGTTAACACAATATTTACAATGGGCATGTTTAGTGTAAATGAATTTAACGAATTTAATGCTATTACCTGTTTGAGCACAAACATTATTTAAAACCCTCTATTTTTGCGCCATTTACTGCGTCATAATAAAGTGCCTATTTCTATTGGTCACTAAAGAATCTGTGATACAGTAACACATACAGTTGATCTCTATCTTTTTCTAATAGTAACATTTATGATAGTTATCTTTTTCTAAAATTGGATTAAATTAAAATTATGTTTTCATTTCTTATGATACAAAAATGTCAGATTGTGGGGAACATTGAAATTATTTTTAAAAAGTGTGATAAATTAAATATTTGTTTAATTTTGCATTGCATTAAAAATATCTGGTTATATTTTCAAGTTTTGGACCCTATGAGAAGTAAAAACAACCAGTCAGTCTGATAAAATGTTTATAAAAGTTCCTCAAAATCTAGACCTAGACATTCAAAAACGACAGTGGACTAAGGGCTGTTGCAAAATTCAAACTTCGTGATTTTATATTTATTTTGATGTAAGTAAAGATATTCTTGAATTGTTTTTGTTTCCAATTTGATATAATTTTATAAAACGTACCTAGTTGATCAATATAGGTACCTACCTCTTAACTTAACACTGATTCTGAGGGTACCAATTAGTTTGCATTATTTTTTAGGTGAAAGAAGATGCAGAAATCTGGGTCCATTTCAAAATAATGGGTTAAAATTTGACAATAAAACAAAATATACCTCCTAAAATTCCTATTAAAAGCTCTTTAACTGACCCTGCCAAAAAAGTATTGTAAATTTGAATTTTACTGTCATTCCATATATACATGTTATTAATTGCTTAAAAGATTATAATAAAGCTTGCCTGTTATTTATTGTATTCTTTTTAAACAGGAATGTATAAATAAATTAGCTACAATATGTACAAACATTTTATTAAACTTATGTATTGTATATTATGTTGAGATATGTTTCTATTATTAATATGAATTTAACAAAAGCTAATAGATGTATTTAAAATACAATTCTTTAAAATATGCAAATTATTTAAGTGTTTTTTTTTTAATTCCGATAGTTTTGTGAAATCTATACAAACTTCATGAAAGTAAATGCCTGGACTATACCTATACAGTAAACTATCAATGTCTTACCATAAATAAACCTTTTTTAAGACTCGATTAACGGTAATATATTAGGCAGTTGATAATATAAAGAAAACTTATTTTTATTTGAATTCATTATAAATATATAACCTAACCTAACAGATAGCTTTTTCAGGGGACAAAAACCATAACTAATCCTCAACCATTTCCCATGACCGATTCCCAAAGTAAACCATAATCCCTTAATAATACCGGACAGGTAAGGAGTGAGGGCTGATATATTTACTGTAAGTCAAACGAATTATTGTAGGCGGATTTATCCTCCTTGGTCCAACGACCTGCACGAAAAGTCCTCCTAGGACTCTGTAGTGTAAATTTAATAAATTGATTTGACATGTACATACACTTTTTAACTGTAAATAAAATTTTATTATTATTGATAGAGAGTTATTGCAAGTTCACTTAAGGTCAGTCACTATTAGTACCGCTCTTATTTTGACATCTGAGCATGCGCTGATCACTAACTTTAATAAAGATTGTGCCTGTCCTTAATAGAGAGATATTGCAAATTTCTATAAAGCCAGCCACTAATAGTGACATCGTAATTAGAGTCAAATAAATTCCATGCTAAAATCAGACTTATTGCAAATCTGAAATTATGACATTAGAATCCTCGTCCTTATACTTATTTATAACCTTATTTTAATAACTTTAAATTGTAGTTCATCTTTTTTGTTGTCTATAATAGTACATAATATTAAAGAGGCATTAGAAATTATAATTTTAGAAAGTTTAAATGACGATTATATTAAATATTTAATATTAAAAAACTTCTAACAGATACGAATGTCGGCGAGCGCATCCGAAAGCTATAAAGTCGCCACTACCTGCTGCCCTTAAACATCCACAATTAAGTAAAGGCACAATCCTTAATAAAGTCAGTTTTAGAACATAAACATCTTCGCATGCTTAGATGTCAAAATAAGAGCAGCACTAATAGTGACTGACCTTAAGTGAACTTGCAATAACTCTATTATATAATCAATAATCCACAATAAGCTTGGGCCATAGACATTTTTGGCTTGGGCTTGAATGTAATGTTATGTCAAACTTCACTTTATTTGATTCTTCTTGTTAAATTTGACTTGTCTAAACCGTGCAAGTTTCCGTCCGACTGAAAGACGTTTGTAAAGCCTTGGTTTCTTTGAACACTCCGTCGCGGTGAGCGGACAGTCCGTCGACCGCTGAGGACAGCAATTTTCGCCTGAGGTGGTTTGTTAAAAAATATAGAAAATGATACTTTCTATATGTCTGTATGTGCTGTTTATGTATTATGAATGTAAACGAAAGGTACTAAAATGGATGCAAATAAATTGTTTGCGTTGTTATTATTGTTGGAAGAGGAAGAACAAGAGGAACTGGCAATTGCAACCGTCAAAGTTTCCAATAAGCAAGTAGATGAGTTGTTTTTGTGTCGCGATACAGAAGGTGCCTTTAATATCACTGTGCAGCGGAGGCTTTTTGGAAATAAAACCAAATTTAGGGAGTATTTTAGACTTTCTACAGATCTTTTTGAATTCGTGTTGAGTTTTATAAAGGACATAATTTCCAAGAAACCTAAAAATAAAGTCATGATGTCATCTGTATGTGTGAATTTGTCACTTATTGTTTTAAAATTAATAACAATATAGTCTCCGCACACGCCGACGATTCCGCTGATATCAAACTGATATCAAAATCATTCCCATTTAAATACTCTGGTTGGATAAAATTGTCAAAACGCGACGGTTGACGGACTGTCCGCTCACCGCGACGAAGTGTTCAAAGAAACCAAGGCTTTAGACGTCTTTGAGCTTTCACATTAATATATGGATTTGGCAAGACGCCTTAAGAACGTCTTTGAGCTCTCAAATTAATACGTTTGAATTATGGCTTTTGCCAGATGTCTTATAAGACGTCTTAATAACGTCTTAGGACATTAAGACCAAACCAAGACACCAAAAAGACGTCTTTTAGACGTCTTGTGCTATCTGGGGGAAGTATAATTATTTATAAAAAACACATTTAATGCGAAGAAGAATCGACATCAATCAAATCATTAGAATTTAAAACTTTTGACAACAGTGGCTTTTTCTAATAACAGAATATTGATGTGATGGAAGGTTATTCACTTCGATGGTGTTCAGAAGTGCAAGGGGAACACATCTTACAGATACAGATTGCCAGCAATAAAAAGTAGGTTTTGCTGAAGACTTACTTTATTTCTAAAACAAATCATTCCAAAAAAAACATGATAAGTTCCGAGTATCTTATCAATAATAATAATAATATATAATAATATATTTATTATCCAAAGGTCCATATTTCTGTCTCAGCAACTAGTTGTTATGCTTAATCACCAAGAATATTTGATTGCTTCTAAGTCACCTGAAATCCACTTTTATAACCACTTTTGTTACAGATTTTACTTTAGAGAATTCTGATTTTTTCAAAGTGGTAACATAACGACTGACCTTGGTCTAAGCCACTTGCTAACAAGCAACTGCATGATACAGACTAGACTACTATGTTTTCACCCACCTTAAAAAAATAGAACCATGAAAAATCATTTAATACCGCATTTTGAGCTTTTTAAAATTGACAGGAATTGAAATTTATAATATAGAAGTATGTATAGTTCCTTGTCTCACAATCTGTGTATCAAGAAATCATCAAAATCCTAGTCTAATAGCTAAATTTAGTCAATTTCCAATTTTATTTTAGTTTAAAAGTTATAAACACATTTCAACCGGAAGTGTTGGACGATCAGATATCAGAAGTAGAAGAAATAAAAGATCCACCGGGACATAAAGCAGTAAAAACAGATACTGATCGCAAACGTAGGGAAGAAATCATAACAAAAACTGTGGCTGCTTACATAGAAGTGTGCGCCCATTTAAAAAACCCCCAACGAGGATTGTCAGCTTTAAATTTCCATAGAATTAAAACCAAAAGGTTAAACAACAAGACGTACATTCCTATAAAGAGCCCCAACGTCTACAACGCCTTGTTGAAAGGGTTTGCTCAAAAGGGCTCATTTTCCAAAATTAAAGAAATTTTAGACATAATGAAAGAAGAGGAAGTAGAATGCACTGTACAATCGTACGTGGCTATTTTTGAATGTTTAGCTCTAATTGAAGACAATTTAAAAGAATTAGAAAACTATGCCAACAAAGCTTTGGCTCAGAATATTACTTTCGATAAAATTATGAATGAAGGTATATTTCTTAATAACGAAAGAGACCTTGTGTTGAATGTAATGAGAAAGATCGATTCGAACTATGCTCCAAAATATAACAATCCGATAGTGTTTTATGACAATCAGTTAGTGAATCATCTGAATCATCCTGAACAAGAAAATCCCTTTGTTCCAAATTCAAAAGAAAGTAATGGATTATTTACGCCTTTTACTCTGAAAGAATTGGTGGATAAACAAATTAGTTTGGAAAAGGAGGGTCATATTACAGTAAGTAAATTTTTTGATGTATCTTTTTTATTTTACATTTTTCCGATTGTGTTCTATTTTTTAGTAAAAATATAGATAATAAAAGAAACAAAATGATTCTTTAAAGTTTCTTTATTGCAATTCTCATAAACATAATTTCTGCATTATATTGCAACTATAAAATACTTTCCTAAAACTTTTATAAAATTTCTATAATAATAATTGTTAAATGAAATGCAATATACCATCACTACACAATGTTTTTATAAAAATTTCATAGTGTTAGCTCCATGTGGTCATATAGGTATTTCTAAATATATATTTATAAAACATTTTTATAATTGCTGTATAATACTTTCTTAAAAGAGTTGTATACATATTTGATCAAACTTCTACAGTATTGAAATGTTTTATATAAAAAGGCCCTACAGGCCTCTTTGTAATTATGCCCCTTTGAAAATAAAAATTGAAATGTTTTAGAAATTTTACTACAAACCATTAATTATTAAATCTCGGAATTTATTCTATTCTGTGTTTCTACAATTGTTTAGAAATTAATAGATTTTATTTTAGTAAAAATATAACGTGTGGGAATAAAGAATTTAAATTCTATTGTTTATTTCTCTTTATATCTACTAGCCAGCCAAGCAAAACTGTATTTCTCTATTAATAATTACCAAAAAAATTGTATTTTGATTAAACAATAGATGGGGCCAATAATTACATGGTCAGATTTTGTACTATAAATACATTAATTCTTAATTTTAGATCAATAGCATAGAAACGAAATCTCCACTCACAGAGGAAGTATTAAGAAATCGAATATCCCTCGACGATCATTACAAAATGTGGGAAAACGAGGCTCTCAAAGCTTTCAACAGAGATTTAGCCACATTATCAGCCCAAAGAAGTGCTACGAACATGGAACCGTACATACGATCCATCCCAGCTAAAGATTGCATCGCGATAATCGTTGAAGAGGCTAAAAAGATAGCTCAAGGTTCCGAAACCTACAGTCCCACCGTTAATATGCTTTATAAAGATTTAGGCACCAAAGTTTACGCTAGATATAAAGTACTGCGCAAACAGAAGACTGGTGTATTGGATAAAATTACTGACATACATAAAATGTACTGCACTCACTACGCTAACACCCACAAATCTTTAGAAGTTTTACCTGAAGAAGAAGTTATTTTAAACCCCAGACACACCTGGCAAGGCATCGATTATAATTTGAGGGAAAAAGGGGCTACTCTCGATATGGACCATCAAGATTGGGTACCCACTATTTTGACGTTCATAGGAAAATTTCTATACCACATCGTGATGTACGATCTCAAAGTAGACGTCAACGTTTTGAGAAACACCAAACACAAAAACCATTTACCCGCGTTCTATACGATTTTCAGAACCCAAGGGAGGATCGTAAAAGAAGAGGTTAAACCCCATCCAGTCTTATCAAAACTCTACAGGTAAATAAAAGTTAATATCCCTGCATTGGCACAACTCAAAATGTATTGCTTACATGCGATCCAAAACTAAGAAATTTTTATGTGAAATAGTGTTATAAGTTTTGTCCACAAGAGAGCAGTTGTGTCGGTTTTAAAAATTTGTAAACTGACAACTCGTTTCGCGGCAAAACTGTTACATATTCAGTTGTTTGTTAGTCATTTATTATTTGTTCAAAACTATTACATTTCGGATAGTGCAAAGTTTTCAGATTATATCAGCAAAACTGTCACATTTAGAGTTACACCTGTTTTCTCTAAAGGGAAGTAAATTAACACATTATTTTTATATTATGTATTATTTTTAGATGTGTCAGTTTTGTTTAAAATGATTTTTGTATAATAGTTTAGATTTTTTTATTTTATTAATTTGTACTATTTATTTATTTATTTGTCTTCATTTGCATGAAACCTAAAATGTATATATATTTTTTTTCACCAACAGTGTCACAAGTCCAAGCCCTTAAGGGTTGTTTCTATGTTTATACTCGTAAAAGAAATATCATGTGCTAAAGTTAGCTGTATCTACTTTAAATTTGGCAACACAAATTATTTTTTATAGCAGAATATTTTAATGGAATTTTGAAACGTCTTATCTCGAAATTTTCACTTTTTGAGTTGTGTCGGTGTTCTTCCAAAGTAGCGATATATTGTAACTCTCTAGAAATAAAATATATTTACCATTATTAATTATTACAGGCAATCGAATCCGGAAACTTTGACGTTTCCCACTTGCGACGTTCCTATGATTTGCCCGCCGGTGCCTTGGATTTCGACGCAAGTGGGCGGGTATTTGATTTCGCCGTCCGAAGTTATTCGATTGCCTGCGCAAGCTACTAGCCAAAGAAATCGGCTGAGCGAAGCGGGATCGCAACAGCTCTATCCTAGCTTCGACGCTCTAAATCAACTGGCGGCCGTACCGTGGAAGGTTAACACGAAGATACTCGATGTTATATTGGAGGTTAGTTTTCTTATAATCCTTGCCTGTCATTTTAAAAAATGCTTTCGATATGTCAACAAAAAAGATTAGTAAAGTTTTTCTTTCTTTCAAAATAGAGGTATTAAATAAAACGAAATTTGTTATAAACGTTATAGGTGATCTAATAAAAAAAAATGGATGTAAAACAAACAAATATACCAATAAGCTTTTAATATAAATAAACCTGAATGTATGCATATTATTTACTTCTATCTACTAGTTTATCGCCAACAAGAAATATGCGTGTAAGGTAAATTATATTTAAAAGTATAATATACAATAACTAGTATCTATAAACGTTTAATTTATCCGTTAAAACCGTTAAGTAAACAAATAGTAGTTGTTAAACGTTTAAGAAATCAACGAAATTTAAACGGGAGTTATTAACGAAAAATACATATTATAATATTACCTAAAACTATTTAAATATTGACGGATTCCTATATCCGGAATATTTATGAAAAATAAATTATTGGAAATTATTTAAATATAGGGAAAAGTTTATGATTCATTAGCACAGGAAGCTAATCGGTCTCGGAATCGTGAAACGCCCAGTATACGGAATTTATGGAAAATAAATTAATACACTTGAAAACAATTTAAATATGACGGTAATCAAATGCAAGCAAATAAATGAAATCAAAGTTGTCGGAACCCCCTTGTATCTTAATAATAAAGCGATGGGAAGCGAAAATTTTCGTCTAGTGATAAATATGATTATTTACGCGGTGTTTTGAACGGCGGACACGACAATCGTAGAAAATAATATTTTGAATTTTGCCCAGAGTCGATCGAGAGCGTGTGTGTGAATTTAATTTTACAGAAGTCGTCTGGCTTCATTCAATAATTGTGGACGGAGAACGGAATGATTCAAATACGGCTGAATAAAAAATTCAAAGAAAAGAAATTTTACACGAAGTGAGGCGCGGAAATTAATTTAAACGTCTTTTTGGGAAATTAGATAACGTCATCAGGAGAGAGAGCACTCTAACCCTGGAACGGATTGAACCTCCGAAAAAAAAAACAATAAAATAATAAAAAATCGAAAACAGGTCGAATCTCTCAGTTCGATGTTAACTGGGCGGTTTTTAAGAGAAATTGGATATAGTTGTTGACAAAGAGACCATTCGGAGTCTAGCCTATGTCCAGCCTCAAATAAAAATTGCCAACGGATTCCCACTGAGGGATTAAATAAAATATACTGGATATGAATTAAAATTTTTCACTTGTCACACGGGTGTCCCAACTAATTATAAAAAGCCAATATAAAAAAATAATATACGGTTCCTACCTTAGCAGATAAACGGGGTTAATCGATGAACTTTTCCGAAATCACGGCATTAGGTACTAACTAAGGGTGAATAGTTTTCGGCTGTCGACAATCAAGAGGAAGAGCTTACGGCGGCCGGCAAGCAAGAAGAGGCGTAATTCCCAGATGTCATTTAATTTATGCTTTCCGGTAAAGCAAGATGGAAGACCAGTAAGCCCGAGTGGGGGGATACCACCACTACAGCTGACTGTTTACAATTTAGAAATATAAAAAATGTCCTTCTTGTACCTTGACAAATAAAAGGTAGATAATCGGTACGAAATCGACTTTACAAAATGCCCATTCGGATTTCGGCAAATATAAGAATATTTTAATCTACGAGGGTACTCGCAATTGTTGAAAACGGTAATTCCTGGGAATTAATTGAAATATACATTTTTAAGATGAATTAAAAATAAAATTTAGTGACTTCGTCACAATGTATACGAATTTAATTTAAATAAAAATAGTTAACTATATTTAAACGTAGAATAATTTTCAATTATATACCATTGGACGTATAAAAAAAGGTATAATATATCATTTAAAAAACCGTATGTATAATAATCAAACTGTAAACGATTACGGAATCAACCAATACCAAATATAATCGAAAATTACGTATAAAATATGTTAATTATACCAATGTATGCTGCCTGGGTCCCCTATGGCGTTTTAAAGCATTTTTTATTTGAATAGATTAAAAAAATATTAAGGTGTTCATAAAGTTGAAGATTTAAATTTTCAGGTATTCAGAAACGGTGGTTCATCACAACTGGACGTGCCGGAACCGCCATCTTCGTTGAAACCTCCACCGCAGCTCACACAAGACATGGATAAAGCCGAAAGATATGAACTCTTTAAACAAAAGATGCAACATAGAAGGAAAAAGGCGGAAATGTACTCGTTATGGTGCGATTGCTTGTACAGACTTTCCTTGGCTAATCATGTGAGTTATAGTTTCAATTATTTCTTTTAAGTCAACAATATCTATACCCTTATAATGGAAACTGGTAAAAATGTGACAAATTTGCATTACTATGTTTATTATAAGTACATGATTTTTATTATAGATTTAAAAAGGTAATTAGTAGTAGTATTTAAATAACAGACTAGAAAACTTACAGGATTATCTTAGGGAATGATTAATTTCTTGTTGATCATTTAGCTCGCCTGATTTTAATTAGTTATATAATACGGGATGGCCACTTAACGTTTCGTTAAGTCTTTTTGGCAATGCTATTGCGCATGATACTTATCAATGATTGCTAAATGACCAATATCAACAGATATATTGCCTTTTTGTCTTTGTCACTGCGCATGATTTTTCACTTCAACGTAAATTCATAGTGTCGTTTGTCTGCTGTGTTTCGAACCCAATCAGCACTTTAAAAATTATATTTTTCAGTTTCGTAACGATACGTTTTGGTTACCGCACAACATGGATTTCAGAGGTAGGGTATATCCCGTACCTCCTCATTTAAATCATCTGGGTTCGGATCTGGCCAGATCTATGTTGGTGTTCGCCGAACCCAGGCCCTTAGGGCCCGACGGTTTAGATTGGCTTAAAATACATCTGATCAATTTGACCGGATTAAAGAAGAAGGAATCTATCCAGAAAAGGTGAGTTTATAAGGTTTATTTTGACTTTTAGAGCGTTATTGTTTCAGTCGTTACTTATATACAGATTTGATCATTATTTAATCGATCACAGGAAAGCAACGAACGATAAAAGTATTATCTTCCTACTCACCGAAATTTCATTTTTAAATTTTCTCATTTTTTTTGTGGTGTTTCTAAATTCGTTCTCCTCAATTTTATTGGTCAGGATACATATTCTCCTTAGTGACTTATAGTATGTAGGAGAAATGGTATTACTACATTCCTGAAAAATAAAATCTTCCAACAAATAAATCTTTGATGATAGAAAGACTTTGCCAAAAATAAGATTTTTTAAAGAGTTGGTTTAAAAATTGTTTTTCGGAAAATGAAATTTACGAAAAATAGACTAAGGAAGAAATTTCTAAAAAATTAAATCTTTCGAAAATTAAAACTCTGAAAACAATATCCTTGCCACAAACAAATAATGATTTATCTTTCTATTATCCCAACTTTCATTTGAAGTTTTCTCCTCACTACTTTCTACAGGATTTCTAAGGGGTTTCTCCTTGATTTCTTGCAGTATGTCGACGATATATGATGTAAATATTCTTACGAAGAGAGGGAACGAATTTTAAAATCTTCGAACATCTTTTTTTTAAACTAACACTTTAGCGCATAATCCATACAAGCACGTTTTTACTTCGGCAATGTTCTTAAATGTGAGTTCCACTTCTTTCGACTGCTCGGGTACACTCGATTTAACGTGCATGAATTTCTATGAATTTTCATGAATTTCCGAGAATATTTATCAATTTATAACAATTTCCATCAATGTTTATCAATTTCTGTTAATATCTATCAATTTCTATTAATTTCTGTCAATATCTATCAATTTCTATGAATTTATGTCAATATCTATGAATTTTTATAAATTTCTAAAAATTTCTATGATTTTCTATAAATTTCTATGAATATCTATGATTTTCTATGAATTTCTATAAATTTCTATGAATTTCTTCATTTTCTATGAATGTCTATGAATTTCTATGAATTTCTATGATTTTCTATGATTTTCTATGATTTTCTATGATTTTCTATGATTTTCTATGATTTTCTATGATTTTCTATGATTTTCTATGATTTTCTATAATTTTCTATAATTTTCTATGATTTTCTATGAATTACTATAAATTTCTATAAATTTCTATGATTTTCTATGAATTTCTATAAATTTCTATAAATTTCTATGAATTTCTATGAATTTCTATGAATTTTTATGAATTTCTATGGATTTCTGCGAATTTCTACGAATTTCTACAAATTTCTACAAATTTCTATGAATTTCTATGAATTTTTATGGATTTCTATGAATTTCTACGAACTTCTATGAATTTCTATGATTTTCTATGATTTTTTATGGATTTCCGAGAATATTTATCAATTTATAACAATTTCTATCAATGTTTATCAATTTCTGTTAATATCTATCAATTTCTGTTAATATCTATCAATTTCCGTCAATAATATCTATCAATTTCTATGAATTTATGTCAATATCTGTGAATTTCTATGAATTTTTATGATTTTCTATGAATTTCTATGATTTTCTATGAATTTCTATGAATTTCTATGAATTTCTATGAATTTCTATGAATTTTTATGAATTTCTATGAATTTCTATGAATTTCTATGAATTTCTATGAATTTCAATGAATTTCTATGAATTTTTATGAATTTTTATGAATTTCTATGAATTTTTATGGGTTTCTATGAATTTCTATGAATTTCTATGAATTTCTATGAATTTCTATGAATTTCTATGAATTTCTATGAATTTCTATGAATTTCTATGAATTTCTATGAATTTCTATGAATTTCTATGAATTTCTATGAATTTCTATGAATTTCTATGAATTTCTATGAATTTCTATGAATTTCTATGAATTTCTATGAATTTCTATGAATTTCTATGAATTTCTATGAATTTCTATGAATTTCTATGAATTTCTATGAATTTCTATGAATTTCTATGAATTTCTATGAATTTCTATGAATTTCTATGAATTTCTATGAATTTCTATGAATTTCCATGAATTTTTGTGAATTTCGAAGAATTTCTGCGAATTTCTATGTCTATCCGTTTGCCTAGTCCAACTGTCCGTCCGTCTATGGCCCTTTTGGCAATACTTTTTCATTGTAAATGGTGAATAAATTATGTTTAATGTTTTTCCATTAAATTCAATTCATTAATAACGGTTTTTTAAAGTATTTTTGCCAATGCTACTGCGCATGAAACTTGTAAATGACTGCTATATGACCAATATCAACAGAGATATTAACTAGTGTCATTTTGTCTTTATCACTGCTCAAAGCATTTTTTGTCAACACATTGTAGAGGTGGAAAGTTAGTATTTCCAATAAAATAAAATCCATGTATATTCTGTATATAAATAATACAAAAAACTGAAAACTTCTTCTTCGTTTATTATAGATTAGAATACGCGAACGAAATCCTTCACACGATCGTCGATTCCGCGGACAAACCGCTGACCGGTAAGCGATGGTGGGCGGAATCGGACGAACCTTGGCAAACTTTGGCTTGCTGCATGGAAATAGCCGACGTCATCCGTTCCGGCGATACGGAAAACTATCTTTCCTATTTCCCCATACACCAAGACGGCAGCTGCAACGGTTTACAACATTACGCGGCGCTGGGAAGAGACGCCAGCGGCGCCTTTAGCGTCAATTTGTGCGCTTCCGATGTACCGCAGGACGTGTACAGCGCCGTCGTCAGTTTGGTCGAGAAACAGAGGATCGCTGATGCTGAAAACGGGAACGAGGTAAGGTTTTGGAATGCAGGTTCAGTTGTACATAGTTTTCTAACCCTAACTTTGAGTTTACTTAACTACAACATAGTTTTGTAGTAGTGATAGACTCTATAGACATTTTTAAAAATTCGTATTTTTTTAGATTGCTAAATTGCTTGAAGGTTTTATCAAAAGGAAGGTCATCAAGCAAACCATCATGACGACAGTATACGGCGTGACTAGGTACGGTGCTAAGCTTCAAATAGCTCGTCAACTCAAGGACATCGATGAATTTCCTAAAGATTTAGTATGGCCGGCTTCATCTTATCTTACTGGTGAATATTTCTACGCAAAAAATCACATTCATTGACACACAACAGCGTTTTAATGTTTGACATTGACATAACTACAGTCAAGGATATCGCTATACTGCCGATATGATGCTGGTATCGATCCTTTTGTTTCTATACCAGTATTATTGATACTTTATAGTATCCCAACATCCCTATCTGCAGTTTGATATTTTGACATTGACATAACACCATTTTGATATTTTAACATTGACATAACACCATTTTGATGTTTTTGACATTTCATATGTCGAATGTCAAAACAGTAAAACGATTATCCTGCCGTCTAGTCAAGTAATGGTCACAAAAATTATTTTTTGTTGTTCAGGAAGGACGTTCGATTCCTTAAGGACGATGTTCACGTCTTCGAGAGAAATACAAGACTGGTTTACGGAATGCGCTAGGTTGATTTCGGCTGTCGGAGGTCAACACGTCGAATGGGTTACGCCTTTAGGTCTACCGATCGTGCAACCGTATTTTAAATACAGAAAAACGACCGTTGGGACTAATTACGATTCGTATATTATAGATAAGTATGAGTAAGTTTTCGTTTTTAAAAAAATTTATGTAATATTGATTTAATGTCTGTTAATAACATATAAGGGTTATAATGTAAGTTGGTTGGAAAGTAATGGTTCATTTGATAAACTCATTCTTCTAACAACACAATGAACCAGGTTACTGTATTTTCTCTACCACCAACGTTTTATAACAACGTAGATTATTAGAGTTAGTAGTAGTGGTAATTAAAAACAAAAAGTTATGGTAACTTTAGTAAGGTACATTGATTTTTATTAACGGTAATATGAATGTTTTATACAACCTAAAAAAGTCTACAGGCATCAAATCTGGTTAATATGTAACATACAAATTTTTGGCCCCACGTTGGGCGCCGAAAATGTAACTTACAAAGTGAACTCGGCAACTTTCAGTTGAGGGAAACTGGCTTAAAATGAACTTTAAAAATAGGAAGAATTTACCAATAAAAATGTTGTTTATTCCGTCACATAAGTATCGACTATTTAGGTAACAACCTTCTGGTCGCCTTTGACGAGGCTCAAGCGGTAGTTAGGGGGTGGATAGCTTTACAATTCCGATAATAGACAAATTGAAGGGGCGCTAACTGAGTTTAAATACTAACATATATTGATTCTAGTTTTTCCTCCAAAACTAGTCTAGTACTATCTTATATTGTTCCATTTCTATGAATATCTATGATTCTATGAATTTATCAATTTTTTATGAATTTTTATGAATTTTTATCAATTTTTATGAATTTCTGTGAAATTTTATGAATTTCTACGAATTTCTATAAATTTCTATGAATTTCTATAAATTTCTATAAATTTCTATAAATTTCTATAAATTTCTATAAATTTCTATGAATTTCTACGAATTTCTATAAATTCCTATGAATTTCTAAGAATGTCTACGAATATCTATACATTTCTATGAATTTCTATCAATTTCTGTCAATTTCTGTCAATTTCTATGAATTTCTATGAATTTCCATAAATTTCTATACATTTCTACGAATTTCTAAGAATTTCTAAGAATGTCTAAGAATTTATACGAATTTCTATAAATTTCCATGAATTTTCAGGAATCTCGATGATTTCTATTTCTTTGAATTTCTTTGAATTTCTTTGAATTTCTTTGAATTTTTTTGACTTTCTTTGAATTTCTTTGAATCGCTTTGAATTTCTTTAAATTTCTTTGAATTTATTTGAATTTTTTGAATTTCTATGAATTTCTCTGTCCATCCATTTACCCGTTCGTCTATCTATTCGTCCATTAGACAATGATTTTTCATTGTAAATGACAACTAAACAATTTTTTACTTTGTTCCATTCAATTCGATCCATTAATTATGTTTCGTTAAGCCCTTTTGCCAGTTCTACCGCGCATGAGTACTTGTCATTGACTGCTAAAAGACCAATATCAACAAATATTTTTTCTACCACTACGTATTATAATAACTTAGGTTATTAGAGTGGTATTTAAAAACAAAAAGTTATGGTTACTTTAGTAAGGTACATTGATTTTGTATTAACGATAATATGAATGTTTTATGCAAGCTAAAAAAATGTCTACAGATATCAAATCATAATAACGTTTTTGGCCCCACGTTGGGCGCCAAAAAAATAAACTACAAAGTGAACTCTGCAACTTCCAGTGAGAGAAACTGACTAAAACGGAACTTTAAAACAAAGAAAGAATTTACCAATATTTCGTTTTTTCCTCCAAAACTAGTTTAGTACGATCTTATATTGGTTTAAATTGAATTTTTATTATTTATAGAAAACCGAACGTGATGAAACAGAAAAATGCCTTTCCTCCGAATTTCATACACTCCTTGGATTCTAGTCATATGATGCTGACGTCGCTTCATTGCGAAAGGGCTGGTATAACGTTCGTTTCGGTGCACGATTGCTATTGGACGCATCCTTCGACTGTACATATCATGAATAAGGTAAGTCGTTCTGAACATTTTATTTTTCTTGCGCAATAGTAGCAACAAGTAAACCAATATTACAGATGTTAAATTAGTACCTTTAGTTGTGTTCAGTTGTCAGTCCTGATTTTTATGTTAAAAGTTTTATAGAAAAAAAGAACAGCATCTATCATATATCTACACAATTCCACCACGGCGATGTTAATGCTAATTCAACATAGTATGTAGTATTTAAGAGTATTCATTTTTCCTGTGTATGTTTTTACAATGATAAATTATATAATTGGCAACATTGCGTCAGTTATCTTGCTGCAACGTGTGACTAGTAAGTCAGTGAGCACGGGAACCATAGAAATAGAACCCTCTTGTAGATTTACCTGGCTGAATACATTCAAAAATAAGATCTTGATAATGTCAAGAGACCTCTTGATTCGTGGGAAATGTAATCTTACAACAATAATAGATATATTAATACAAAAATACTTAGCAGTTTAATTTTTGTTTCAGATCTGTAGAGAACAATTTGTTACGCTTCATTCCGAACCGATTTTGGAAAACCTCTCCGAATTTTTGTGGGAAAAATTCAGTTATGACCAAAGGTATTTATCAACTGTCAATAAATAAATTAGTTCCTTATTTTCATTAAAATTTGCAGTGAATTCACTGGAGATGGATCTGTGATAGACTTGACGAAGAAGAAGTTGAACAGAGTGTTGCGACAACTTCCGAGCACCGGCGATTTCGATATCAATCAAGTGTTGAAGTCGGTGTACTTCTTTAGTTGATGTTTTACGCTTTAGATTTTTTATGTTGAATAAAAGAATTGTGATTAATTTTGTTTTATTTCTTTAATCTCGTATTTTTAAAAATCGCGCTTTTGGAATTGCAAGAGAAAAGCGTTCTATTCAGATAGCAAAAAAAACATTTTGATCACTTATAATATACAGAGCTGATTACAAATTAATTAATGTGTTAGCACAGGTAGGGATGTTGCGATACCAGTAAAGTATCGATACTGGTATCGGAACCAAAGTATCGAAAGGGTATCGGAATCAAAGTATCGATACCGATACTGAAAGAGTGTAGAACAACCAAAAAAAAGGTCATACGGTAAGCCGACATACTATACCATAAAGTGATCCTACAATACACTTTTTGTATGTATTGTAATTTCAAAACTAGTAAAATATTGAAATAGAATAGTATCGAAACCAAAGTAGTATCGATATGGGTAAAGTACCGAAAGCAAAGTATCGGGTATTAAATTACCCGGTATCGAAAGAAAAGTATCGATATCAGTAATATCGCAACATCTCTAAGAACAGGGGGTCCAAAGAGCGGAAAGAATTATATACAGGGTTAGCACTGTAACTTGCCTCACCCCTAGGTATAACTGTATCTATAGTTACTTTCTTTAAACTAAATATATACGGTCCATTCAAATTTTGTTTTACTGGCAATATCAAATTATGAAGAGAAAAGACAGAAAATGAATATCAAGTCCCATAAGTATTTAGTTCACAGTAAACCAAACCTAGTAATAAATTCGAGGGACCTTATTTGCGATTCAAATTAATTTTTGCCCGCCTGTCAATTGTCACCTATAAGTAGGATATTTGTTTATTTACATTGTTTTGTGCGAGATTTTGAATAAGTGAGTTTTTAGCGGTATTTAGATAATATAATAATAGTGTTTTTGAGTTTCATTTAGTGTTAATTTAAGTTTTCGTGCTTTCGTTATAAATGTAATATTTATCATCAATTATGACTAATTTGTTGAAAATCTTCACATAGGTATCTGGTTGTTATACAAACATCTAGAAATATTTATTAAAGACAGGACATGTTTTATTATGTGCTTTAAAGGACATTTCAGGTACCTAACGTTTATTATTGATAAACTTATTCTTATATTATGAAGTGAATATTGTTCACCAGAATATACAATACCAAAATCGAACAGTGCTCCACCGACACCAATTTAACAACAAACGTATTTTGAAGATAGATAGCGCTGGAGACCCCAGACCCAGGTGTAGTACGTTGTATTATAACGATTGTTTAATTTAAAAATAGTTTATTAAAAACAGTGTATTTATAATTTATTTATAACTTACTAATTAATTAATTTAATTCTTAAGCACTATTATAACTCAAAATTATAATTTATTACAATTTATCTTTACTATACATTGAATCTTCCTTTCTACCGACAAAGTCGCCCTATTTATATAAAGCCAGCTCTGCACGAGTACATTCTCGATGGTCTACAATCTATTGAATTTCTTTCTCTATAAGTCAGCCAACGAGCAACGATTTCTCGGGTAGCTTCTCGAGGGAGTGCGTTTGTCTCTGTCCTGCGGTATGGAAACAGACGAAGCTGTTTGCAACGTTGAGAGGACCAGAGTCTGCTTTAGATAGTTACACGACATTGCCCCGTCTTAAGAAATAGTTACTCCTGAAACTGTTACTGAAACTGCATGGTTTGTATCTATAACTGGACCATCTTTTACAATTTCCATTTGCATGGAAATAACAAAGGACGGCTTTCGCTGAAACTTGGACACTAGACGAATGGCCGAAAATCAGAATTTGAACCTCAGTATCTTGGAAGATTATTTTCACCGTGTTTCTAATTCAGCTAGTTTCTGTACATTGGACTTCAGTACGTGCTCGATTTCGGAAATAGAAGAGGTAACGTGACCCATCTTGAAGATTTAATGCTTTTCCAGGGGCTGGTAACTGACCTTGAAGTTCTGGAAATCCACCAAACTTCTTCCGAAACACAGATGCCTGACCTCGAGCATCGTTGATGCTGGCGGAAATGTTATGGACCAGCGAATAGTCTTTAGAAACTGCGAGCTCGGTTGTAACACCATGTCTTGCTTTTCCAATACCTCCATATACATTATACACCTATACATTCTTCTAAGACAAGGTCAGGTGTTTCTTGGAACTGGTTTACTTTTTTTAGCTGGATTACATAATCTTCACCGGCTATGTCTTCTCCAAGTCAGCATCTAAACTCGAGGTCACACGGTAGTCTCATCTTACGCCCAAACAGCACCATTGCTGGAGTTTGGCTTGTAGATTCATTGACAGCGGATCTATGCCATATTGCGAAGAGCGAAAGATACTGATTCCAATCTCGCTGATAGTTGGAAACCATTTTTGAGAGGTATTTGCCAAATTATTCGCTCTACCATTCCATCCGACTGGGTGTAATGTCGTAGTTCTGGTTTTCTTCATGCCTAGCCTGCCTTTGGTCACTGTGGATCTCCAAGGACACTTTAAATCAACTAATAAATTCTTCAATTAACACGTCTGCCACAATTGCGGCCTCTTGATTTGGAATGACGTACACTTCCACCCATTTCGTGAAATAATCCATAACCACCATCATGTATTTATTATCATCCTCGGTCATGGAGAATGGTTCAGCAATATCTAAGGCAATCCTTTGAAATGGGCTACCGACGTTGTACTGTTTTATGGGGGCCATCCTTTTTCGTTGGGGTCCATTATACTCATAGCACAGGTGGTGCATTTCTTACACCTGTCCTTTACATCCATCGGAACTGTCCATCAAATAAAAACTTTCACAAACTCTCCGAAGAGGTTTCCATTTCTTCAAGGGCTAAAAATCCGACGTCGTTCTACTTATAGACAACTTTTACAAATTTTCTCCAGAGGGCGTATCACTTAGCTTGAGTCGCGAATAGCAATATGGACGCTGCCACACGAAGCAAGAGGGGCGTGGCCCTTCTATGTATTTGGATTTTTTCGCCATGACTTTCGACTATAGCCTGCGGCGTTTGACTCTGCCTATACGGGGTGTTCAAATTAAAGTGTTACAGTTAAATACCGCCGAAAATATGCAATTTATAAAAAAAAGTTTTAGACAAAAGTTTTATAGTTTTTGAGGGAAACATTTTAGCTAAATTCATTTTTTTATAGCTGACCATAATATGGCCATATCAAGGCGGAGTTTGTTTTCAAATTTTTTTACATATTCTGCTTAAAGTTTATAAAAAAATAAGAAACTTTTAATGGAAATATTTTTTTATTGAACTTTTACTTATTGAGTAACACCTACTTGAAAATTGAAAAACAAATTGGCCATATTATGGTTAGCTATAAAAAAACGATTTTAGCCAACATTTTTTCCCCAAGAAACTATAAAACTTTTGTCTGAAACCCTTTTTTATAAACTATTTAACTATAACACTTTAATTTCAACACCCGGTAGATTACGTCAAAATGACATCAATTTTTGGTAGTAAATTGCTTAAATTGACGTCGGTAATTGATCTCAAAAGGACGTCACAGCCTCGTGTCGTCAGCAAATGACGTCATTATTTCATCAGAATAAAACGACATAAAACACGGCATTATTAGACGTTAAAATGATGTCATTAATTCGTTAATAGTGGATGCTATGTATTTCGTCACATAGACGTCATTTAACGTTCCTGCTATAAAAGCCTAAAATTTGATTTTTTTTATAAATTATGAACAAAGAAAAAAACAGAAAACGCTGAAATATTTATTTAAAACCAATACAATTTTTCCTTAAAACAAAAGAACAAAATCTATCAACTTATTTTGTGGTTATAAAAAGGAACGAAGTATGCTTTTTATTTCTACTTTAATAAAAGTAGGATAGGCAATAACTGAATATTTACGTTACTACAGTGTTGGTAAGATCAAACCTTTGGGCCTGCTTTGCTGGTGTTAAACGCTATTTATATATGGGCGCGAAGGTTTCATCTTGCCACCACTGTATAACCAGGTGATTTTAAATTTTAATTATGAGTGTGGTAAAGCAAAAGATACTAACCAATCCTCGCTTAATGGTTTAGGATATACAACACATTTAGCAAGAACATCTTTTAAACACCAATATTTTAAACACGACAGTTTCCTCACAAGGAATAGGTATATCAACAGATTTGATTCTTCTCTGCATACACATATACATACGCACGCACATACAACCTAGGTGATTTTTTTAATTTTTTTATTTTTTTTGCGTTTTTTGACTTAGAATGATTGGAACGAGGAGAAAAGGGGGTTAAAACATGTCTCCGTCGATACGGATACAATATTAAGGCGACATATAGGGATGTATGAGTTGGGGTACGTACACCCCCCCCCTTCCCTCCGCTTAGAAGGCAATTCAGAAGTTGCCATTACTAAACTGCTTGCAATATTTACGCCGTCACACGAGGGCAAGGGAAGCTTTGCCCTTGTCTATAAGTCTTGTTCACCCTTTCCCTGGAAATTTTTTGAACGGCCGGTGTCCAAGGCTATAGCTAATATAAAGTTTTGAAAATGGACGTCCTGTATATCAAATGCATACCATTATGGCGCCTCCCTACTTCTCTAAATAGTTTTTCAAGTAGACCCAGCATGACACCAACCAACTGTACTTGTAATCCACCCTACCTAAAAACACACGGAGTGCATCTTTTCATCTTTATTTCTTCACGCTCTGCACTGGGTGGCAGCGTCTGACTCTCCTCTCAACTCCGTCTCGGGAATATGAAACTATTTTCAAAATCGTCGCGCTTTGAGTATCTCAATTGTTGACCTGTGCTATTTTTACAACTCCTTAAACCAAAATCTTAGGGGTGAGTTTATTTAAGATTTTATTTATGTTTACCATTAACTAATTTTTGCAAGGATTTTTTTTGTCATCACTATAACAATTTGCAACAATGCTAGTTATTTAGTTTGTGCTTTTTTAATCCATATTTTTTAATTAGTGATTTCTCACCTCAAAACCTTTTGGTTATACGTGTAACTCTACAAAAAACTTATTTATAATTTTCATTAATTTATATTAAATTCAAAAACATATTTTTAAAATACTAATTTTTTAAAATACTATTCTTCGCCATAATCTTTTTTATTTGAAATTATTTTTTACTCTGTTTTTAAAGTTTTTTTATAATTTTAGAATATTTTTGCACCATAATCTTTTTAAAATTTGTTTTATAGTTTAATTTTGACAAATCTCTATCCAATATTTTTGTTTTGTTTTGTATTTTGAAACAGTTGTTTCGCAAGTTATTTCAAAAATGTGTTGTAGAAATGCAGATGATCTTTACTGACAGGAAAAATCACTCAAAATGTTGACATGATTTAAAATAAACCTGAATGGCCTCATTATTAAATAATGTGCTTGCATTTATTTCATAAATCACGAATACATCATTCACAATAAATTTGGGTTTTTTTTATATTCACTGAATTTACTTTGCGTTTTAATTTTTTTTAAATTTAAAATAATTTTTTGCGCAAGTTTTTGAGCTTGAATGTCGTAAATTACAATTTTGTAATTGCCACAATAGCTTAAGAATGTTTTTCAGTATTCTCTACACATTATTACAATTTTTTTTCACAATTTTTTTTATCCACCTAAAAACTTAGTGATTTTTTATTACCTATATATCATAGATTTCATTAATTTTTTAATAATTTTTCTCATCCAGCAATGAAAAATGTGTAGTCAGTCGTTTGAAAAAAAAAAAACAAAGAGGAAAACCTTTGGTAAATCCCAGTTCATTATTACAATATAATAAATTAATAATTTCTGACCTTTTTGTCATATTAACGATATAGTCTAAATAATGTTATTAATGTTTGTTTATACGTTTAGTGCTGATATTGATAATCCGGAAAATTATTTAAAAATAAATAGATACGCGGGAGGTTTAAAAATTAGGTATAAATATTAAAATCGAACTGATTTTTTGTAGATAAAAAGAAATTTAATTATTACGAAAATGTGATCCGTACCTTTTTAAATAAATAAAATTACTAACAACTGTAATCATTTGCGAATTATACAGGGGGTTCGATAAGTACGGTACATAACTTCAGGAGCGTATTCTGGAGCTAAAATAAAGGTATTTTTGTCATATACACTATGTCTCAAAAATGCTTCGTTACCTAAATACAGGGTGTGAAAGTTTCTTAAAAAAAACACAATTTTTTAAATATTTCCAAAACCACTTCAAGTATTTTAATTAAATTTTTGCAGCTTTTGAGAGTTAGCAACGTTGCGTGTTTTACTGTAAACACAGTGGCTTTCATTTAATCAGTGGCGTACGGACAAGGTAAACTTTCACACCCTGTATTTTCGTAACGAAGCCTTTTTGAGACATAGTGTTTATGACAACATAATACCTTTATTTTAGCTGAAATTATGTACCGTACTCAAAGAACACCCTGTACATATAGTTATAATATGTATAATCCATAGAAACATTGCTAGATAAATTTAAAACGTATTTGATATAAACAAATAATAATATTCTAAACATGCAATTTATTTAAATTGTCGTCAAATACATTTTAATTGAATAAATTCTAGTAATTATTATTTTATAAGACAATGCAATTCTAATAATTGATATCACGAGATTTGATATTATACGAGGGCACTTCATGGTTTAGTGGGCGTTGAGTGACAATGAATATTATCTGATTAATGTTAAATTTGATTATTTGATTAATAATGAGTATATTTGTGTTCAAGTAGGTATTTTCGAAAAAATCGACAATATGTAGGAATAAAGAATTGTTTGTAGGAATAAAGAATTGTTTTTAGCAATTAACATTGGTCTGGATTATTTGTATGCTTGTTCTAATAACATACAACTAGCTAAAATAGCAAACTAGTATTTTATTTTTCTGTACATTTTCAAATTAGGTATTATAGAAAGTACCTATCTAACGTTCAAATAAAAAAAAATAAATGGGCAATTTTCTTTTTTTTTATTATCTACAGGGTGTCCCGAAATTAGACGTTCTTATTTTAACAGCATAATTTACATCCAAAAATAGGAGTAAAGGTTCATACAAACATAGGTCTCAAAACGTTTCGTTTCCGAGATACATGATGACACATTTTTGTAAATATTTTATAAACATTTAGAGGTAACCAAGTGAAATTTGGTACAAACGCTAAACTTTTTACTCTTTTAAAGAACTAAATCCCATTTTTTGATCATCTTCATATGTGGGTAAATTAGAGAAAGTTTTTTTGTTGACAGTTTTTAATATTTTTGACTACAACATTTGAAAAACAATGTTTTCTTTCTGTCACGCCTAAATGGTAAATGATAGAAAAACTAAACAGGCCTCGCCTGAAACGATTTGCCTAACTTCCCCATACTCCTACTTCACCCAGTGTTGCCAGGGTGTCAATGAAAAAATTCCGCTACAAAAATTGAAAAATTCAGCTACGTTCCGCTACGCGCTACTGTCTCTTGTCATATAACATGTCATATGTCACATTTTACTTGTTTCATGTTCACAGAACTAAAGTGGGTTTGAGTTTATTGGTTTATTTTAACATTTTTGTGACAAGTGAATTGGTGGAACGACTAAAAATTAAAAAAAAAAAATAAGTCAAATCTTAACACGAAAAAAATATTATATATTCCGTGATTTTAACCTAATTTCATTTTAACGATATCAAAAAAGGCACAGGATGTCGCTACCATAAAAGTTACCTATTTTTTTTATGTTATTTGACTGAACTCGTCTTTATAATAAACGGTACAAATAATGTTAATACAATTTCTACAAGTTTTATTATTTTTTGTACTTTGGCAGATTTTATTTCAAATTATTTCAAATTACCTTGATAAAATTCCGCTACGAATAGCGGAATTCCGCTACGTCTGGCAACACTGACTTCACCCCATACCCTAGGGGAAGTCAATATATAGCTAGCTAGACTTGAGAAATTGAACTTCGGGTACGACGGATTGGACTTTGAGACGAAAGAATTCACCCCCCTAAAGGACAAGTCACTTAACCCCCTCTAAATGTAGGTGAGAGGGGTCCCCTAACCCCTAAGTGCAGGTGGGGGTTAAACAATTTTTTTATAATTCGAGAATTTTGAGACATTGGTTGCATGGATAATAACAAAATTAGAAAAATTCTGGACCGTTAATGATTATTTTTGATGTGGTTCATGATAGGGTGCAAAGCTCCCAGACAGCACACCAAATCCTTTGGATATCTACTGAACATCCCAATATCCACTGAATGTCCAGTCCATGGTAGATATCTATTTCATATCCATGAAATGTAATTTATAGACATGCTAATGTCCATAAATATAGCAATTATATAGCAAATTTTTAAAAAATTACGCCATTGTGGCTAATAGTACCGTTCAGATATTTAAAATTAATTTTTTTAAGGTGTATTCAATATCCCATGAACATCCACTAAATATATTAAAGTCTAGGCGCGAACGCAAACCATCGTGGATATCCACTAGATGTTATTTGATTCTGCTTACTAAGTATAGATGGCGATACCACTATCGCATCTACTCATGCTCGACCCGCCGTAATTGAGTTCGATCGAAATGTGTGTCCTAATTACTCCATTAGAGACTGGAGTCGAGAATTTTCATTTATTGCTGAAGAGTCCTAATAAGGATGACTTTCTCCTTAGTGGGCAAAATCAGAGGCAGAGTGTTGAAAATATTTTGAGTGTTGAAAATATTTTTTATCTCTGCTATTTTCTTTCGACGTTATTCAATAATCATTGGTTACTTATGAACCTCTACTAAAGATACCCATTAAATATTTTGCTGAATATCCAAATATCTTCTATATCCTGGGATATAGACGGACATTTGGTTGGATATCCATATTGGATATATTGAATATCCACAAAATATATTCTGTGGATAACTCTGTGATTTCTTGTATTTTCTGGAAGATACCCATTAGATATTTTGCTGAATATCCATTAGGATATCTTCTATATCCTGGATATAGACGGTCATTTGGATATCCATATTAGATCCACGGAATATTTCTGATATCCTGTGAATATATTGGATATCCACAAAAGATATTCTGCGGATATCTCAGGGATTTGGTGTGTTGTCTGGGCTGAGGTTGGATATAGCGCGATGAGTATTATCATTGTATAAATATATCGTATTATCCATACCCAACGCCCCCCTTTTTTTAGGGGCCTCAAGATGAGTAATCTCATAATAAAAATTGTGTTTTATATCATATCAATAATTGAGGATTTTTTAATTGTGAGTTATTCTAATTTTATTGAATTTATTTTTTATTTAATTATAATGGCAATGAACTATGTGGTATCATCGTGTAAGTACGCATAAAAGTTTATGATTAGAAACATGCAAAGGCATATATGTTTTCCTCAACTTTCAATAATGGTTATAATCGAATATCGACCACTGGGCAAACACTAGTTATTTTCAATCCATAAAAGTACATAATAGTTGAAATTTATTACAAGCGCAAGTATTATGGTGTGATGCCCCCTCCACAAATGCATTTTTTGACTGCGCCACTGAATTTAAACAGAATATCTATTTTATCTAATTCTTTTATACATTTTTCTAATATATGTAACCAGTAACTACCGTAGTAAGTAGTAATAGAATTAATGTAACAGGTGTGGCTTTATAAAATTTTAATAAATTCTGATAACCTCATCAAAACCACGTCCTGATTTTTCATTCTTTTTTTTTAAGAATCCACAAATAATTTATAATCCTGGAACACGCTGTATTTTAGTTTAATTTTGCCTATATTTATCATTGTTATGTAAAAAATTTTATCAAGAGATTGTTATGAAACCTCTCTGTTGGCCTAATTTTTGCTGAAGAAACTTTCTCACTTCGCCCCGTACGGGAAGATGTAATTTCTTCGATAGATTGTAATAGTTATTTTCTTAGTTGCACCCGAAGCAAAAGGTCAAGTTAGATAAGTGAATTTTTATCGTGCCTTTTTTTTCAATTTGTTGACACCACTAGCGAAAACTAAGATTACAGCTCTATGTATTCACAAACAGTTCAATATTCCTATTAATGTTTATATTTACCCTATTTTAATGTATCTATTTATTTCAGGCGAATCGGAATAATAATATGAGTTCGAGCACGGCGTTCTTAATAATATTTTTGACTGCAATTTCGACCACGAGAGCGGTAGTGACGTAAGTACATATTTCGATTTTTTAATTATTTTACAAGTATCTATCGGGTTTCTTAGTGCCGAATTCCATTTGGCAACTAGTTCAAAATGTATTTTAAGACCTTTCAAATTATCCTATAAACTTCGCTGGATTCCATAATGCACAAGCTCTATAAAGATTCCAATTTTAATAACCATCCTTGTAAATTAGAAATATATTTTATTTATAAAGTTAGCCTTGGAATTTAAACTATACTAACAGCAGTTACAGTATGTTTGACAGATGGTTCTATACATTTTTATCATAATTTTTCTTGATCCACACAGACAAATTTGGTTAATGTATAAAGAAAATCATGACAAATTGATAGGACTTCTCAACAAAGTAGTATTAAAATTAATTTAATATAAATATGAAACCTTCTAGTTTTAAACATTAATCTCCTCTATGGCAACCAGTCCAAATACATTTTGAGACCTCTAAAATTCTCAAAATGAGCCTGCATAAATTTCTCTAGATTCCATAATGCACAAACTTATGAAGTTTCCTATTTTAAATAACCACAGTGTTCCTCAAAAGTATTGTTAACGTGGTTCTCTGTACGTGACAGTTTATTTTGTTGGTATTTTGACCATAATAATTTGTTTTTAAAGTGCAACATTGCGATGTGAAACATACTTCAACTGATTAGACTACAAAAGTGCAAAAAACTGCATTTATTCGACAAACGTAGATATTTTATTTTTTTTTCGAGTCGTACATCTTTTTTTGGAATTATATCCTATTTATTCCAGCAAGGTAACATTTGTGTTAATAAATAAAGTTGTGACTATTTTTAATATCAGTGGCATTTACCACTTAAAATAACGATGGGAAATGATTATAAGTGCAGTAAATGTAAGCTTACTAAATCTGATTGCTATGTTGGATGCGAAGGTGTCTGCTCAAAATGGTTCCAGTACTCTTGTGTTGGTCTAACTAATGTTGAGTTTTCGATGCTTTCAAAAAGTAACAATTTATATTTTGTATGTGAACTCTGTAGACGAAAATGCAGCATTCTTCAAGAAAAATCACTGTCTGACCACAATTAGGCATTCCAACGACCTGTCAAACAATATGTACCAGTGGGAAATTCTTGTATATCTAAGGGGGTAGCGACATAGTCTTGCAACTTGGACGCTATTTTTATTCGAAGTAGTAGTCGCCAAGCCTGCCAATTTATGAAGAAATGTATAGGTAGGTTTTTTAAATATTATTTTTATTGTGTTTGACATAAAATATTTAAATGTAATCCATTATTCATGATTTTACGTAAAGTAGATATAATACACCGTATGTCGCCACCCTTAGATATACCAAGCCTTCCCACTGGCAATTCATTTGTTTGGAATGCCTAATTAGGCATTCCAACGACCTGTCAAACAATAGGTGCCAGTGGGAAATTCTTGTATATTTAAGGGGGTAGCGACATAGTCTTGCAACTTGGACGCTATTTTTATTCGAAGTAGTACTCGCCAAGCCTGCCAATTTATGAAGAAATGTATAGGTGGGTTTTTTAAATATTACTTTTATTGTATTTGACATAAAATATTTAAATGTAATCCATTATTCATGATTTTACGTAAAGTAGATAGAATACACCATATGTCGCCACCCTTAGATATACCAAACCTGCCCACTGGTAATTCATTTATTTGGAATGCCTAATAATAGTCTGAAATCAATTGACGAACGTTTATTTGACATTTGCGATGTAGTTCAAAAAACCATCCAGGAAAAGTTAGATGAGCTCTAGCTTCAAAAACGAAATTGTCGATATTCTAAAAAAAGAGATTCACGAGAAGATTTCCCTTAGACTCGACGACTTTTCTTCCAATTCTTCAAACTCTAACACGTCTGATCTTAGTATTAAGTATCATATGAGGGGTGGGTGGCTCAGTGGCAAAAACTCTACTGCCTGTGGATCCAAGGGTCTCAGTGTGGCGACATCATAGCACCACATAGTCTTACCTTTAGTTTGGACTTTTACGTCAATTTATTTTAAGGTTTCTTAGTCAGTTTTTATTTGAGGTTGGTCAAGTGTCAATGTCAGATGGTACCATTATATCACATATATTATGATCTTGGTCGATAGCTGCGTACACTAGCACCCTACTTATCCGATGGATGGTAACCATGGAAAAAGGAAACAAAAAGATTGATTGATTACTGATTTGAAATACAAGACGTACCTTTGACACAACATTTGTTATACAGGGTGATTCACATAAGAACCGACATAGAGCAGGGGCATATAGGGGGTCCCAAAATATGGCAATTTAACGCAACTTACCTCTATACCAAGTTGCTTCCCTAAGGAGTTATAGGCTTTGAAAGTGAAGTTATAAATTTTGAAAAAAATCAATATCTCCGTTATTCTTGAACTTAAAGCAACCAAATTTGGTACACTTTGTGGATGTATTTAGGGCGTTACTTGACAGTAACTAGAGTTTAATTGAAATTTGTAAAGGGGGTATACTGGGTGGCGCACCATTAATATTCAACAGAATTTTGTTAACCCTTGATAGATTTTAAAAATCTTTGCTTTGTTTTGTGGGCAATTCAATTCTTAAACTTTTCTTACTTTAGTAATTTTTCGAAAAAACTCATCATTTTCATCAAAAACTCGAATAACTTAAAACGCGCGCTCTAGGTGTGTTATTTAAAATCATCGAAAATTCAAAAGTTGGCTATGAAAATAAACGTCAAACTTGACAATGAAGCAAGTAAGTTGTTCAATTAAGTAATTGTTGTTTGAGTGTTTTTAAAATGAACGGGAAGTTTTCTTTTAACGAGCAAGTTGACATGCTGTTAGTGCTAGGTTTTTGTGAAGGAAACTGTAGAAGAAGTGTAGAAGAATATCGTAGAAGATTTCCTAACCGTATCATTCCCCATAGAGAAACATTTTCTAATGTTGAAAGACGAGCTAGAGAAACGGGCAAGTTTCTCAATAATACTCGAGAACGTGCTGTCGCACTCAGGCCACAAGTTGAGGTAGCCATTTTAAATGCTATTCAAGATGATCCACATATTAGTACTAGGAATTTATCTCGACAAATTGGTATATCGCAGAGTTCTGTGCATCGAGTTATCCGTCGCAATCTACTACACCCTTATCATGTACAAAAAGTCCAAGAACTTTTACCCGGAGATTTGGTTTAACGTGTCAATTTTTGTCAGTTTATTCTACACCAAGATAATAACTTCCAAAAGAAAATTCTTTTTACGGATGAGGCGACTTTCACTCGCAGAGGTATCACAAATCTCCATAACTATCATGAGTATTCTGACGTAAACCCACATGCAATAACTCCTCGGCATTTCCAACGTGAATTCAAAATTAATGTTTGGATGGGAATTATTGATCGATATTTAATTGGTCCTGTTGTTTTACCGAATCGGCTGAATGGTGAAAATTATTTAGAATTTCTACAAAACACCCTTCCGTATCTACTTGACGAGGTACCTTTACAACTAAGGTTGCAACATTGGTTTATGCACGATGGAGCACCGCCTCATTTTAGTATGAACGTAAGAAATTTTTTAAACCACCAGTATCCCAATAGATGGATAGGAAGAGGAAATAATTGCCCACAACGTTGGCCCCCAAGATCACCTGACCTGAACAAATGTGACTTCTTTCTGTGGGGAACGTTGAAAGAATTTGTGTATTCTTCGCCCGTTGCGTCTCAAGAAGAATTATGGAATCGCATTATTCATAAATGCACATCTATTAGGAATAATCAACAGTTATTAGATAGGGTGGATTTTAATTTTCGAAGAAGAATAAATTTATGCGTAAGAGAAAACGGCGATCATTTTGAACAATTTCTTTAATTTATCGATAAACAATTGTTTGTTCTGGTTGTTGTTTAAGTTTTTTGTGTTTATTTTGGTTAGTTGTTAATCCCAGTTTTTCACATTTCAGTATCTGTACTTACTTTAAGTTATTTTGTTACGTATCTAAATAATAATTTGCCAGCCAATTCCTACTGATCACATTAAATGACCTACTTTCTTGTTTCTTGTTTATTTTCATAGCCAACTTTTGAATTTTCGCTGATTTTAAATAACACACCTAGAGCGCGCGTTTTAAGTTATTCGAGTTTTTGATGAAAATGATGAGTTTTTTCGAAAAATTACTAGAGTAAGAAAAGTTTAAGAATTGAATTGCCCACAAAACAAAGCAAAGATTTTTAAAATCCATCAAGGGTTAACAAAATTCTGTTGAATATTAATGGTGCGCCACCCAGTATACCCCCTTTACAAATTTCAATTAAACTCTAGTTACTGTCAAGTAACGCCCTAAATATATCCACAAAGTGTACCAAATTTGGTTGCTTTAAGTTCAAGAATAACGGAGATATTGTTTTTTTTCAAAATTTATAACTTCACTTTCAAAGCCTATAACTCCTTAGGGAAGCAACTTGGTATAGAGGTAAGTTGCGTTAAATTGCCATATTTTGGGACCCCCTATATGCCCCTGCTCTATGTCGGTTCTTATGTGAATCACCCTGTATAACGCATTTTTATATTTTAAAATAAAATTATTTTAACCAACTAGTTATCATCCAGAATCAAACGGAATGATAGAACGATTCCGTAGAACATTAAAAGCATCTGTTATGGCCAAACTGCATAACAATAATTGGAAAGATGAACTACCATTGATTTTATTAGGTTTGAGAAGTGCAGTAAAGGAAGATTTGAATTGTTCTTCCGCTGAACTAGTCTATGGACAATCCTTAAGATTACCAGGAGATTTTTTTGTAGACAGTAAAGTTTTGATACTGATTCATTCTTAATTAAATTACAAGAACATTTCGATAATATAAAACCCACTAAAATATATAGACACGGTACAAAGAAATTTTTCATTTCACCAGATTTGATGGAAAATGATTTCGTTTTTGTTAAAGTTCAATATATCAAACCTTCATTAACTCCTCCTTTTGAAGGACCGTACAAAGTCATTAGTAGAAATGATAAAGTTTTTAAGATTTTAATTAATGGCAAAGAATCATTAATTAACATAGATAGGTTGAAGCCAGCCTTTTTATTAACAGAACAAGATGTTCAAAATGTTTTTTCAAAACCGAAGAAAAAGGTTTCTTTTGTTTTAAACCCAATAAGTTATAACTAAACCATTATTATAAGCAAAATTGTTTCAACAAATATAAAATACTCTAATTGCAGCTACAATGAACTATATTAAAGAGAGCAAACAACAATTACAAAGTATCCTTTAAATGTCTTTATTAATGCTGTATTAGTAACACTTAAAAAATATCAATGAGGTAAAATGCTCTCAAAGAACACAAACATGTTCCTGCCACTGGTTAATGGAGCCAATTTGAAACATTTAATCATTTCTATTTTAACACGTTATTGGCTTGTTGATGTTTGTGTTAAAAAAATGGACATCTCACGCTGGAAAAGATGAAAAAAAGCGGCGCATTTCGAAGAAAAGTGTTAAAAAATTATAAAAATGCAAATAAATTCCAACTATCCTGGTGCAGCGAAAAGTTGAAGTCATTCGTCCTACTTTTACAAGAATACGTACTGATGAACGATCACCAAATTCCAATATTTATAATAAACGTCTTTCTGTAACAGCCACTGATAAAGATGAGATGGGTCATGTAATGAAGAAGATAAAAATAAGTTGATTTGGTGCATTAAATTAGACGAAATAGAAGATTCAGACTTCGAGGATGAAACTTCTAAATTAACAGAAATAGATAAAAATGCCATTCTTTCTCGACAAAATTGTGGGTCCTGAATTAATTTCTCTGCTTTAGATTTTGGCCAAAATAATTTACCATTCTTCTCCCATTTTTGGGGCAAAATAGTCAACTGAATCTTGTCCCTTTCAATCGTTTTCACAATCTTAAACATTTTAACGCACCGCAACTATTATTTCTATAACCACAACTAAGAACGATAATAAAAATGCAGAATTAAAGCTCGTAAAAGTAAATATAATGGCAAATCGACACATTATAGTTCTCGGGAGAGCAAAATGACTTTATTGTGGTGTTATTGCGAACAACTATAAAACCATTTGGCATTTATAAGAACTATTAGCACTAGTACATAGCAAAATGACTTTATTATTGTGTTATTGGGAACAATTATAAGACCATTTGGTATTTACAAGAACTATTAGCACTGGTTTAGAGCAATTTCTGCTATCTAATAGTTTCAAGAGAGCAATATTATTGCGGACAACTATAAATCCTTCTGCCATTTTTGACGACTATTAGACAAAATTGCTCATCTCAAGTAATAAGATTTTTATTATGTAGGCAATTCATTATGTCAGCATCTTCTAGTTAAACATTTATACGAGGTGTTGGTAAAAAGTACCCAATGTCTTTGAAAGTACCATAATTGCAAATCAAAAAATTTACTAGAAATGAGCCCACAGAACAAAGGCTTGAGAACAAAAGGCATATACTGTTGATAGACATAGTAGTGCAGTAAAATAAAAAAACGTTTTTTATAAATAAAAAAATCAAAGTGAAATATTTAGATATCTATCATTATATAAATTAATTTGTATTCATTTATATTAATTTAATAATGTTATTAATATTAATTATTAACAGATAATATCAAAATAATATTTGTCGAACAGAAAATTTTATTTGTGCTACTTGGGTTTCTTTTGGTAATTTCCAATTGGCCCGTTGAAATCGATCATAAATTTCCTATTTCTGTTTTTACTTATTTTATTATTATTTGTAGCGAAACGTTGAGTTTTATTGGACCACTTAATACATCTTTGGACGACTGTCAAACTCAATAAAACAAATTAAATTGGAAACAACCCTTATGACGGTCTTCCATTGTGCTCTTATTTCACAAAATGACTATCGTTTCAAGTTATTTAACGCACAAGGTCGAAGAATACAATCCCTCAGCCTTCATTTGAGCAACACATGTTTTTTACAACCTCATGAATTAGGGCAATATAAAAGAAGAAGGCGCAACCTGTACATTTATGGTATCGGTATACTTTATCTAACAAAACAGACAATCGGGCAAGTGTCCTGTAATGAATGACATGCATACATTTCGAGAAGTTATTTCAAATAATAAAAAGACAAAACATCTGCGCCGGTTTTTGCTTTCTGCCTTCTTGTATCTCCCGGGGGGTAAACGAACTTTCTCGAGGTTTATTTATAAGTTTTAATATGCATCTGTACCGAATGATTTGAACAGATTTCATTTAACTACTTAAGTAATTAGAATTAGTGTGGATGCTGGTAGGTCCTGAGAAATCCTCATCAAGCATCAGCAGGCGTCTCTCGGTGGTTTATGAGTCAATATCGATTTAATTGCATAGTCAAGAGATGTAGATAAAGTGATTGATGTTTAAAATGAGAACGTTTCGAAAGCATTTATAACGAATTAATTTCAATGCATTGTTGAGAGATCCTGTAAATTTATCTTGATTTTCTTTAAACTTTTACCATATATTCTCTATCAGACAAATAACTTATTATATATTTCATATATCCAATCTAGGTAGTGAGAATACTACAAAAAAATTAAATCCACCAATCACAGTTTATATTTTTAAAATTTACATGAGTGACAATTCTGTTAAACTATAATTGTCAGTATATGTTTTAATTATTGAGATAAATATACATTAGAATGAGTTATTTTTGTGTAAAATCGATAATAGTTTTGCAGAAGCATACATAATATAAATTGCTCTGTAATTCTCTATATTCATTTTATTTAAGTTAGTAGGCGTCTGATGTCAACTTTTTTCATTAGCGCCATCACCTTCTTGACTAAGTTTATTTGTTGTAAACTACTGGGTATAATTTTGCAGAAATGAAGACATCAGAATAGCAATCTTACAAATCGTAAACGTAGTCAGATCCACGGACGACAAATTAGAAAGACATGAGTACCGCGACCGAGTGGTCGGAGAACAATTGAAAAAGGGAATGATCAACATCGATAAGCGAATTAAAATGCTCGATCCACTTAAGGGAACCGTCGGGCGACTAGATGAAAGACTGGCCGCCGTCGAAACCATCCTGATGCAGAAAAACGAACGGGAAAAGATGCAGTTGCAGAGGACGTACGAGGCGGTCATTGACATACAGAAAAATTTGCCCGTTATTATGGAAGAACTTAAGAATGACATTATCGCTAAGGTAAATTATCTGATGATATTATAACTTTTTGTTTCAATAGTGACATAACTCAAAATTCACAAAACGTGATTAGCAAACAACCGTACACCAATCATCAAAATTCAAAAAGCTTAGATTTATTTAAATAACGAAAGTGTAATTTTTGAGGTTTTGATATCTTATTAAACTTGAAGATGTGAATTTTGAGTTATGTCACTTTTGCAGCAAGGGTGCGTTATGATTATTCCCTGAAAGTTTTGCAGAGGCGTTTCCTAAAACTTATATTATGTAAAAACAGTAGATATCACTCTAAAACCCAAATATATACTGGATACTACTAAACAACGTAAAACAAATCTTTTGATATTAATTATCTTTTAAAAGTATATTATTTTATTAGTTAACAGCACACGAACCGCCTGCGCAAATAATCGAACCCGTAATCTCGAAAAAGGATTTCGAAAAGATGGAAAAAGAAGTCGTAGCTAAGATAGACAAAGTCACTAGCAGCATAAACAAATTAGAAAGCGAGCTGGGGAAAATAAAAAATGACAATAAGCAATTACGAGATTTGAACAACAAATCTTCGGATAATTTGGAAAAACTGAAACGACACATAAGCGACAACCAGCAACTATTAACGAAATACGACAAAAAACTGTCGGAATACAACAATAAGATTCCCGAGATTTCTAAAACGAGTTCTAAAGAGCAAGATGAATGGAAGCAGAATGTTTTAAAAGGTATGTATTAGTGCTTTATTTATAAGTGCAGGGCCGCTGAGAGCTATAGTGAGGCTCCGGGCCTGTCAAGGGCCTGCTCCCTATATATTATAACCTATTTTTTTTAAAGCTGTCGAGCCCCGGGAATTTTGCACATCCTGCCCCTCCCTCTGCCCCTGAATAAGTATTGAAAATAATATTATTTATTTATTTATAATGTAGGAGTGCAGAAAATACAGTTCGAAACGAGTTATATACCTATTTTTGTTACGATCACAAAAACTTAATCCCTATAATAATCGAAATATCCGATGTTAAGTAATCCAAACTACAATAGTGGAATAAAATATTACATCACGAATATGTATAAAAAATTCCACTTTCCACACTAGTAATGTACAATATTTTTCTTACAATCACAAAATAATTTCATAAAAAATATATAAATTCAAGAAATAGTTGTGGAGGTTCAATCAAGATGTTGCTAGTTCTAAACTTGTTTTTAATTATTTGTTTCCCTAAACAAACTGGAATGAACCTAATATTTTTTATAAATACAACAAAAATAGAACCTCCTTAAAGCTGCATCAAAAATAACGCATGAAATACCTTCGGAGTTTACGTTAAACAAATAAATTTAAACATTTAACGATCTGAGCCATGAAGGCAGATATCTACAGCATTGTCTTAACCAGATTACGTATTCATTACTGTTTATTTATAGCTTTGGACGGTCAAAAATCCAACGTGAAGGAAATTCTCTTGGATCTAAAAAATCTGCACAACAAAGTTACTCAATTACCACAGAAGGACGACATTAGCGCGTCTCAACGACAAAATCCGCAACCTTTAGAACAAATACGAAGAGATATTAACGATATTAACATCCATCTAAACAGCACCCACGATGATGCCATGAAAAATCTCAATGGTTTAACAGAAATTTCAGCTATTCTCGTTAAAAGCATTGCCAATGCTAACAATGGTATGCTTTCTTTATATTTTCTTTTACATTCTGTATATGAAGCAAAAATAATTCTTTAAATATTGCAGTTCTTGATAGCCAGAGGAGAGACATCAACCAAGTTCTACAAAACGTTCAAAGTATTCCAGATAGAATGAATCAGCTGCCCCAGAAGGACGATCTTTCAGTTGTACAGCGAGCCACTTTAAAAAAATTGGACGAATTAGCCAACAGCATACAATCCAATCAACAGAACCCTGCAACAGACGAAATACGAAGAACTCTTAACGACATGAATAATAACATAAACAAATGGCATGCCGATACAAAAAATATGTCCTTACATGCTGGTAAATAGATTTATTATTAAATAAATTCTCTCCTTACCACTCGGGTCGAGATGAACACATAAATTTTCAAAAATATTCATAAATATTCATAAATATTCATAAATATTCATAAATATTAATAAATATTCATAAATATTCATAAATATTCATAAATATTCATAAATATTCATAAATATTCATAAATATTCATAAATATTCATAAATATTCATAAATATTCATAAATATTCATAAATATTCATAAATATTCATAAATATTCATAAATATTCATAAATATTCATAAATATTCATAAATATTCATAAATATTCATAAATATTCATAAATATTCATAAATATTCATAAATATTCATAAATATTCATAAATATTCATAAATATTCATAAATATTCATAAATATTCATAAATATTCATAAATATTCATAAATATTCATAAATATTCATAAATATTCATAAATATTCATAAATATTCATAAATATTCATAAATATTCATACATATTCATAAATATTCATAAATATTCATAAATATTCATACATATTCATAAATATTCATAAATATTCATAAATATTCATAAATATTCATAAATATTCATAAATATTCATAAATATTCATAAATATTCATAAATATTTATAAATATTCATAAATATTCATAAATATTCATAAATATTCTTAAATATTCATAAATATTCATAAATATTCATAAATATTCATAAATATTCATAAATATTCATAAATATTCATAAATATTCATAAATATTCATAAATATTCATAAATATTCATAAATATTCATAAATATTCATAAATATTCATAAATATTCATAAATATTCATAAATATTCATAAATATTCATAAATATTCATAAATATTCATAAATATTCATAAATATTCATAAATATTCATAAATATTCATAAATATTCATAAATATTCATAAATATTCATAAATATTCATAAATATTCATAAATATTCATAAATATTCATAAATATTCATAAATATTCATAAATATTCATAAATATTCATAAATATTCATAAATATTCATAAATATTCATAAATATTATTTGTATACAAAAGATAGTGACACCTAACATCGTTGTCAAAATAAAATGTATTTAAGAATGATTCTCCTATTCCTGAGGTGATCCGATGACACATTATAAATAGGAAAATAAATTTGTTAATTTTTAGTTCCTAGCAGTCAACCTCCCGAAATCAGAGAAATCCTATCGGACGTTCGCAACCTTCAGAATCAAGTTAATCAGCTGCCGCAAAAATACGACTTGGCCGCGGCTCAGAACGTGACCCTGGACAAACTCGTAGAGATCAACCGCGAAATAACCGGTCGCACCGAACCGGTTTTGGACCAGTTACGAACCACGCTGACCGACGTTAGCGAAAACGTAAAGAAAATGAACGATGACACCGTCAGAAACTTGAACGATTTATCCGAGATCACTAGAAGTTTGGCCGAGTCTTTCGCTAAAAACTACGGGAAAATGAGGACGGACATTCAGGCTTTGAGTAAGATAGATCAGGTCATGATTAAGACGGCTGATGATGTTATAGATACGAAACGTCGTGTGGAATACGGCGTGCATCAGATATTGGGCGAACTGGGGAAGCAGCTTAAAGAAAGTACCAAAAATATCAATCAAGGCGTCAGTGACAGGTTGGTATATAAGTAAAATTTGTTTATTGAGGAGTCATGCTGATATTTTTTAGATACTGTAAAGTTCTTTTATTTAAACAGTTTGTTTATTTAGTTTATTTTCACTAAAATATTTAAAACTCTATTTAATTTGTACTAATTTATCTCTTTTATTATTACATTCATTTAGATTGACAATATGTATGTGAACAGAACGATATCTTAACTAAAACTGACTTTTAAACGACAAAACAGTCTATTTATACATAAATATGTTGTTCTCGGACATTATTCTATATTCCAGACGTCTCTTGCTGCTACGGGTAGATTCCCGTCTTTCAAAATTTGTGTTCCTAGATAGTTCGTCGATATTCAGCAGGTCCAGTATATTCTAGATGAATGATTCAGTTATTTTATTGAATATTCTTGGTAACGGGAAAAAATGAAGTCGTAAGAGGCACAAATAAGGCAGAGAGAGACTTAAAGGAATAGATCATATTTGGAGTGGTTAAAAATAAGGTAGAAGAACAATATAATGAAACTCGTTGAAGATTTATCAATTTACTTAGAGGTAGTAATCTAATATAGGTACTATATTTTCATTTCAGGTTTGATATATTCGAAGCAAGTATTTTAGATGAAGAAACCGGTGCATTGGTGAACCTTACCTCGAAGATCGGCGAAGATATTCATCAAGTATGGAGACAAATCGGAATAATGTACCAACAAATTAGTACTAGCGCCGATACGTTGAACCATCTACAGAATATGACGGATACCTATGTTAATGGTTCTCTAGGAGCTATGGATAGTATGAAAGGAAAGGTGAGTTAACATTTTTTTAATTTATTAAAATCTGTCAATTGACTGTCAGTTCAAACGATCAAATGTTACCAAACTATGTGCAAAGCATTTTTAAATACGAGTAGTTAAAGTAGAACCAAACATATTATAAGGTCATAAATCACTATTAGCTGACGACCCTTATTATTACCTATTGCCAACTCTGTAACCAAAATACTCTAGACGGTCCCGAAAATTCCATCTCCGCCCGTTCTAGCCGTTTCTAGCGCGTCAGCGGCATTCCTGGGAGATTCCGTCGTTTCGAGCATGAGTCTGGTGTCAAGTTGCTTTAGACAGGGTCGGCTTTAGGAATTTCATGACAATATCTTATGAAATAGGCATTTTAATGCAGGACCTCGTAACTAACATTTTCACTGAAAATTATATTTTATGATAATCTCGTTCAAAACATTTCGTTCCATCTACTGTATAGGTGAAGTACTACAATTTTTGAACTAAACATGGGTAAATATTAGTTCTATTATAGAGTAAAATGGATTGTTCTAAACACTTGTAAAATGTTTTTTTCATCTCCTAAAACATGTCAATTTTGCGACTTACGAGGTCCTGCCAAATTTTAGTTAACCCTTCCGGTGGCGCCACTATCGAAAACAAAAGAACATGATCTCCATTTTAATACATTGATCTGACAATCTTGTTTTTTTTTAATTTCTCTATGAGTACAATTGTACAGATAGAAACATCATTACACTTTCTAGGAGGTTAAGAAATTGTTTTTGTGAATGTCAAGAAGTACTTTACAGACAGAAACCTATAATAATTAATAATATATAAAATTTACTTACCTGACCACCAAACTTTCAGTACTTTCATACTAACGGGCTGTGTAGATCTACTGGTTTTACTTTTACTTACGTACACATCGCAATTGCAATGTGCAAGAGAGCGCCTGTCAGTACCAAAAGGGTAGATAGAAGTGGACCTCAGCCCAGCGGATGATCATGGAAAAATTATATTACAGGGTGATGTGACCAATTTTCGATCGAATAAATGTTTAGAATTAATTTTTAAAGGCGAACGAAAAATAGATTCATGATAGTTTTCCTTATAGGTTGGACAAATCACCGGTAGGATGACGGAAGTCGACGAAAATCTAAACTACCTACTCGGCAGATTATCGCTGGTAACGCAAGAGTTCAATCAAATCAAGACGGGACTCAGCTCGGCCCTGGACCAGATCAGAGACAGTTTCCATGAGGTTCAGGATAAGATTAAGGATAAAGGACCGGGTCCGCATCAAATTTCGAGCAACGAAGTGCAGCCCACAACGTAATTAACCCCGCGAGCGAATCACCCTTTTCGTATTTTAGATTAATTAGAATTAATTTTTTTATTGCAGCTTGAGTACTACCTGTACCTAATTTGAATAGATTAAATTTTTTTTAACTAGTTATGTCTTTCATTTTATGGAAGGTTGTTTAAAAATAGTGGGCGACTCGGGAAAATAAGTCGATCATATAGGCAGTGGCGGAGAGAGAAATTTTTCATGGGACGCGTTTCTGAGGACTATGGGGGGGTTAACAAACAGTTAATAGCGACCAGCGCCAATAAGATAGCGGAAACGGGGACGCGAAGGACCTCCATGGGAGGGGGTTCTAACCACGACTGTATTCAGGGCCGCCGAGAGCCAGCTCGGACTCCAGGACAATTCTCCAGATAGGGCCCCGCGACAATTTTATAAAAAATTTAAAAAAAGGTCTTCAAATAAAAATTTCTCCTTCTCTACTCTTGAATTTCTCAAAAAAAGAGGTCTTCGACCAAGAACTTCCCCCCTCTTGTGTCGAACTTCTGAAAGTAACAAAACAATCCTCACCACTGCTGCCGGGCCCCCATTTGAGCCCGGGCCCCGGGAATTAGTCCCGGCTGTCCCCCCTCTAGTCGGCCCTGACTGTATTATCGAGTAATTTCAATTTCCACGATAGGCTTCTTTTGGTTTTTGTTACTTTGATATTTCGTTAACACATTCCAATAGTTTTCTTTTTGTAAGGACATTCAGGAAAATAGTTAAATAAAAAACATATTCTTAGTATCATTTATGCAAATTATGCGCTAGGTACAATACAGAATGTGAATTGACTGCAATGCAGCCAACTTAACTGATTTAAAATCTCTCATTCCTCAAATTTAGTACTCAGTACATACATTAGATCAGTTTTTCGTCTTTTGATCACAGGTGTACTTCAACAAAACGAGTTTGCGCAATTTATTACGAACTTTAAAACATTTTCGTAATATTTTAAAACGGTAATATTAGCGGGTAGTCATATATAAATTATATTTGTTGAAAGATTGTAATAATTAAAATCATAAAATTAATGCAGTGTTATTGGTCCCAGATATAATGAGAATAAAAGTACACATTCCATGTTATTTTTATTCAAAATATCTAATCAGGTGTCAAGTTCTTTGGGAAATAAATATTTATGTATACTAATATGAACACTTTGGTGTAGTTTTTTTAAACCTTTCCAATAAATTAAGATAATTCAATAGAATTTTTTGAAACATTAAAAAGTTTATAGTTTTCTCAACCATTCAAATCTTCTTTCAATATTTCTTGATTAAAATATTCAACATTTTGACCCAATGGATAAATTCTGTTTTCAAAAGTATAGTATTTCTCTCGAAATGTTATTTTCGACATTTGGAAAATAATATACTTTTAAATTGTTGATCAATTCCTGTAAATCAGGGGCGGATTCAAGGGAGGAAAATGGGGAATTCTCCCACCTTAAAGGTTGCTAAAAATGTAATTTTGAATTCTATAATTATTGACAAACTCCTAGATCCGCACCTGGTGCAATTTCAACCAATGAAATGTTCCAAATTTAAATATCCTACAGTCCATCCTCTTAGTGGCAAAAATATTGTCTAGAAATGAGCCTGTGAGCAAAAGAGAAAAACCAATTGAAACAAAAAACAATATTTACAATTGCATTGTGGCAGTGTACTATTTTATAAATCGATTGATCAAATCGATCAACATTTCCTTTACATAAAATAGGCAAAAATACAGCTAGTCATTTTTTTTTCTCAGTTCTAAATAATTATCAACTTTATACAAATTTTTGCTATTCTGATTCTTAGCGATATTAATAATAATAATAATAATATTAATAATGTAGCCTGATTTATACGGTTTTTAACGGCAATGTACAGTGGCTTTGTGCTTTTAAAAATGTAAGAAAACTCCAAATATTCATAAAATGCTGCGTTTTTTTATTTGACTAATAATAATTTTCTTTCCTAATTTTATAAATTATTATTATTAAAAATGATAAATAGAAAAATAGTTATACAATGTGTCCATATACTTTCAAATAAGAAAACTGCAAATTTTAGAGCCACGTTTAAGGAACTCCAGATCCTTTAGTAAGGTGAATAAGATGATTAAATATTGATAGTTACTCTTTTATTATAAGTACAATTTATGGCAGATTTTATATCAACTAATATTAACAAATAATTTATTAAAATTAAATATAGAGTTTAAATCAAAATATCTTAATTGTAAACCCGAATTTAATGATTTAAGTAGATTTTTACAGTGACTAAATCTTTACTCACATAATTTTATGATAGAGAACATTCAGAACATTTTTAAAATACTTATTTATTGAATATAAGTATCTCGAAATTAAGGGAGTTAATATTTAAAATTGTGCAAACATTTTGACTACGAGGCTTTGCATTTCGTTTGACAAGGAGGAAATAATTATTTTTTTAAATTAACATTTTTCTCTACAGCAATCCTTGACATAGAAAACATAGACATATGCTTAATTTTAGAGACTCACTTTACCAATTAGTCCTTTATTAAATTTAAGGGATACAAGGTTTATCATACCATTCATTCCCAAAATGCAGCAAGAGGGGGGCAATAATAATTAGAGAAGCAATTAAATATCATCAAGAAGTGGGATACAGAACTGAAGAATGTGAATGATAAAATCTATGGTCACTTCTACATATTGTCCTCAGAGAGTTACCTCAAAAAACAATCTTTAGACTTCCTCAATAGTCAAGGATCTAGATTAATTATTGGAGCAGACTTCTATGCAAAACATACCCATTGATAACAACCAAGGGTAAACACTTAAAAGAAGCAAAGACACAATTGACACAGCTAAAATTTTAATTGAATTCAACTGGTAAACCAACTTATTGGCCCACAGATAAAAATAAAATACCCGACTTAATAGACTTTTTTATTGTACAAAATATTTCAGCAAACTACATCAAAGTTGATGAGACATGGGACATAAATTCAGATCATTCACCCATACTTTTCACTCTTAGTGACAATGTCGTAGCCTGGGGGGATCAAGGTGGATTGATCCTTACTAAATGGAAAGATGCTGTACATGATTTCAAACATCACAGTGAAAGCCAATACCACACATCTTCTGTATTATTGCTGATAATTTTATGAAGGTGTGTAATAATTTTATCTGAATTAAAATCTTTGGGAGTAGATTGCGAATATTTAGTCGGACAAGGATAATATGATAGAGCTTCTTTGATGAAAGGAAGTTTTAAAGGTGCGCAGGCAGTATTTCGTGAATTTAGCTCTGGGCCAATCTTGCCAGGTTCAGCCTATTCAAAATACTATTGGAATTATAAAATCGGTTGGAAATGTTATCAAGTCCTCGGAAAAACGAACCAAGTGTTTAAAAGATAATATCGAAAAAACACAATGGAAAAACCTTACGGCAATGTGCGAGACCCGCTAGGTAGAAAAACATGATGGATTGTTAAGATTTAATAAATTTATAAAGCTATTGTTGATACCCTAGCTACTTAAGCACTGACATGGATTCTGAAACATCGTCAAAGGCTAATTTTTTTCTGGGATCAGTCATTTCAAGTGATTTTGTTAAAAGCTTATGTTGCTTAGGAATGTTGTTCCCGTACACACTGACACTATGCGATTTGGCAGCAGCTTTACAACATGTCGATTTAATTAATTTGCTGAACTTTTCAAAAAAGCACATAATTTGCTCAGTACTGTAAACGAGGAAATGAAAATTCCGCGAATAACGTCATGCCAAGAGCATAGGGCAAACTACAACACAAAAGATCCTGAAACTTATTTTAGAATTACTATAATGATTCTACTTTTGGATGATTTCATTAATCAGCTTCAGTCGAGATTCCAAAATCATAAAGCCACATTATCATCTCTCAACATTTTAATTTCATCTGTGTGTTGCAAATAACAACCTAATCAAAATTATCAAGAAAACTACTTTGAGATCTATAAGAAATATTTGGAATGGGACTTTGTAAAAGCTGAATTAAACATGTGGCGGATAAAATGGGTGGAAGAATCTGAACTAGATCGACCAACATGTGCTATTAAAGCTCTCGGAGAATGCAACCAGGCCTTATTTCCAAATATTCACAAACTTTTAAAAATTTTGGCGACACTGCCTGTTTCTACATGTACTCCTGAGAGGACTTTCTCTTCTATGAAACGCCTCGAAACTTATTTGAGAAACTCCACAGGCCAGGAAAGACTAAACGACACCGAGGAGGTAATTGATTTGTTCGCTGCAAATGCCTGTTTAATGCCTCATTCAAACTAAGGTATGTCCCTTCTAGCTAAACAAGTTAAATTATGTTGTAAGGACAGTATTTTAAGACGTTCTTTCTACCGTTTATCATAATAAATTTTCATTAAATTATATTACGTAGACTGAAAGTTATTCAAGAAAAATTGATTTCCAGTGGCGTCCTTTTGGAGGCCGTATCTCCGTAGGAAGGGGCGCTATAAAAAAAAATTATGTTATTTTCCAACATTTTCCCAGACACCCTGTTTATAAAAACTTTTTGCCTGTTCGAGTATTTGCCTCTAATTTTGGAACACCCTTCATACCAAGCTCATGGACTGTTATTATTTATATCCTATTAGTTTTTATTATTATTTTTTGGATATTTAAAAGATGGAATAAACATAAACGAACCCCAAGAAAGGCAGAATTCAGTTTGTATAGAGACACTTTGTAAAAATTGTAAAAATGAAATAAAAATAAAAAAAACACTTGTATGCAATTTTCATTTGTACCATACTATATGAAGGTAGTCTTTATTCATGCTTTTATCACCCTTAATTATTTTTTATTTAAAATCCTAATTAAATTGTTTAACTATTAGTCAAATATAAAAACAATCTGTAAAAATTGAGTACAAGAAAAAACAGGTTGCCATTTATGACAAATATGTACTCATTTTTCATCGAAACCCCATTATAAGTAATAATACAGTAGCGACAGTTTATTGTTTATAAGAGGTCCATATTTTTCTGCGCATGTCCGTAAATAAACGGCAAATACTTCAAACTGACATATGTTGATTGCGAATGGATTAATATGATCGTTAATTGTTTT